TGACAACCGCATTAATGGGTTTTAGTTTTTGTGAACAAGAAATTAAAATATTCTGCAATCCAAGCCAACTGAAGTTGTTGTCGAAATTATCAGGTCATCTGTGTTGGGAAAGAAGGGGAACATCAGTTGACCTTATCGAGAGGTTTCGTGGACATGTGCATTTTCATCTAAAGTTTAGTTTTTAAGCGAATAGTACTCCTTCGGTCTTAAATATAAGACCCATTTTGTACCCCTCTGGTCCTATATTTAGGATCGGAGCAGTTTTTTTTAGTGAATTAGAGTGAATCGATCATCCCAAACTGTCTCTCATATCCATCTATCTTTATATTCAAATGGAGTTCAATGTTCGCTAGTATATGTACCTTGGGTCAACTTGAGATGGAGCTATTGTGAAGTCAACGCGTTCCATTTTTCTCTTGTTTCTGTTTTACATGAAAGTATGGCCATCCCAGAAATACATATGCATGCTAATTATTACACTAATTGTGCTTATCTCCACTCACGCAACTCTTTCCAAGCTTTAATTATATTTCTGGTTTCACTAGTGGCGGGACTAGCCGTCAGTTGACTCATAATTCATCGATGACCGTATCTATAAACATCTTTAATACATACGAGCGCATTATTGGTTAACTAGTTAGAATTATTCAGACACATTGAATCATCACAGTGAAATTCTGTATGCTTTTAAGACAGATAAAGAGCCATTCAGATTCCTCAAATCTGAACGATGGCAACATGTTCATGGCCGTTGGCCTGGGAATATGCCTCAACCAGCCCACAATACATGTACAATTATAACACAGGCTCCCCACCGCAATCATAGTATTGTAATGGAGAAACTGTGCAGTCGAAATTATTATTAGTTGATAATGTTTATAAGGTTTAGCTTTGTATATTAGCTGCGGCAAGGAGCATTGAATGGTGGGTTAAAGCAAATGATATAATACAAGTTATTGGGGACCCGGATTCTGATGAGTGATTGGCCCACAAAGTAGATATCATAATCCCCAGATGGATAGATATGTGGAGCACCCACCACTTAGGATGGATCGAGTCTGTTCCTGGAGGGAATATTCACTGAAAAAGCATACCATACAATACAAGCAGAGATTTGAGTAGTTTTGGATATTTGAAAGGGAATGTATGGTGTAAAAATTGCAAAACCTATTTTTTATTGAAAGCTATCATTACTCGTAAGTTCAGGGAAAAGCAGCACTATGTCTAGAGCTACATAGATATATTTAGGTGACAAGAGCTACGTATATATACTATACGATTATAACCACCAATGAAGTAGCCCTTTTGTTTCAAAGATAATTATGGTTCCATTCTTTAATGAAAGAACTAATTAACTAATTTGGATAAATAAAAGATATTGTTTAGGGAATACAAATAGGATTTAATTTGGGAAAAAATTGAAAGACATGTAAAATAGGTTTTATGCATAGAATCAATATCAACTCTCAAATTAGGTTATACATTAAGCATCAAAAGAGCATTATTTTCCTTACTGTTCAGTCTTTTGCTGTTTTTCCAGTCTTCACATGCACTTGGCTTTGCGGAGCATTCAGTAGTCTTGGCAACAATCTCCGCCCAACACTTGTGTGATTCCGAAACAACTCTCAATTAGTGCCTGCGCCTCATGCTATTAATCACATTACAGTCTTCCCTCAATGCGTGTGAATCCATGGAGACAACTTAAACGCATTGCCATTTAGAGCATAAATACGTACGCAGAATATATAATTTCCAGTGTGCGCCCCGTCAAATGTTATTGACACGTTCAGTTTACAATGTATAAGCACAAGTGGTAGGTTCGATACATATTGCGTATAATTAACTAAATGACAAGGATGCTTCAGAAATATATTAGTTGGTATGATACAAGTATATTAATGAACGTCAACAGAAAAAATAGTGCTGTATCAATCAGCAGTATCCAGTATTCCCTTTGCTGCATAAACTTTTTGTCCCTGTCAGCCGCGCTCTTGGCCACATCCCGTAACGTGCCCACCATCTGTGACTAGAAAGAACCAAAAGCGACTTCACACATATACCCTCAGCTTCATTGCATGGTCCAGCCATCCCAGTGGGAATAGTTCAAGACGGCATCAGACCCACCACCCGTACTCATCGATTGCCCCATTTTGTAGGAAACTTCTCCGCCGGCCAAATTCTCAAAACCTATAGCTGTTGAAAATAACCCAAATCTTCTGTCTGTTATTTGTGTTCCACACCTTTTTTCCCCTCATCCTGTAAAGTTGTGGCTGTCGCACCAGCAAAAAGGAACGAATGGCGCATGGCTCCTAGGTCGTCCTGAACCGTGTATAGTGCTTTCTGAATGTTATCAACTGTGCTGCCACTGTATCACACTGGAAATTTTGAAGGAACAATAAAACTGATGCCAAACATAAGGGTTAATGAAATACCCAGTCCTAAATATAAGATCTAATATGTAACGCAAATTACACTATAAACTGCATATTCTATTTAGGACCAGATGTAGTATCTGATTTTCTTTTTTCTGGTATTGTGTGCGTGTAGCCTAAATCTTGAATCCTAAACCCATCATTTTTTTTGGCACAAGAAAATTTAGAGGGTGTTTGGATGGAAACCAAATCATAGTTTCAAAAATAATTTTACAACATACGAAGTAAATATATAAAAGAGTTTGTCTCAATTTACGAAAAAGTATATTTGGAAAACACTTTTAAACAAACCCAAACACCTCCTTAAGTGAGTTGGGTCCTGGAGACTCACTAGGGCCAATACATACTTTTAGGCTCAGAAAATCTTTATAGAAGTATTTACAAATCATTTGTTAAAAAGGTCCTTATATCAGTAGCGGATTTTTTTTTTGGGTATAACTCTGAGTATTTCTAAATCATTTTGGGCTTGAACAGGAGCTTTAAGAATAAATCCATCAAAATTGAGTTTGACAATTGAAAGATATCTTGGGTCAGCCCATATACTTGGCAGCAAGTAAAGTTGCGTTGGTTTCAAGCTTGATTCGACGTCCGACCTTTGAGAACTTTGTTGGTCTTCTCAGCCCAATACCAGAAGGGTATTGTTGGGCCACTCCCCCCCCCCCCGGGGTGGAGGGGGGTCTCTTTTGTAACCGAGTGTGTGAGCACTTCCGTTTACACTTGCACCCCCAACAAATAATACCTTTGTTAATTATAATCATAAATTAAAAATTATAAACTATACATTTTTTGTACTTTGTGCTGCTCAACTTTTTTTTGCCCAAAGAGATATTTTTATTACTAACGAAAACTTAACAACAGACTCAAAAAAACATAGAACAAATACTCAAAAAACACCAAGATTATTAACAAAACAACAGGCTCAAAAAAAAAAACATACAGACTCCAAAAAAACATACAGACTAAAAAAGAAGCAAATACAAGAAAAACAAAAACAAAGACCACAAAAATACAACAAAGGCTCAAACTAGACTAGCCGACACCTCTTCGTATAGCAGTAGGACTATTAACACTAGGGGGAGCATAACTAGGATATGCAACATTAGACATCTGACCAGGTGAACTTGACACCAAATTCCTACAACCATTCATGTCACTTAATAAAATTTCATCCGAGAGAGGTGTTGCCTCCAAAAGCCACCCATTGGATATCAACTCTCTTCTGTAAGCAGCTGCTAAATAATCTGCAGCACGATTACCTTGGCGCCCAACCAAGGAAACTTTATATTTGACCTATTCCCAATTGTTGCAAGAATCTCTTCAAAAATAGGGACACTTTGCCATTCCAATCCTGCAGCAGAAAGATTAACAAGATGGTTAAATAAAATTTCACAATCAGTTTCAATAAAAATATACCTTTTCTTGAATCTATTAGAGGTCAAGATAGCTTCTTTTGCTGTTATACATTCAGCTTCCAAGGCAGTATAGCTTCTTTCTCAACTGTTTTTTGGATTTTCCTTTTAAGGGAGGAAAAGGGGCCTTTGAGTTTCGGAGTGGTGCTGGACAGATGTGGCATGGGAGCACATAATATATATATACTCCTCCGATCCTTAATATAGGACCCAATTCTTGAGTTAGTTTTAGTCTTAAATATAAGACCCATTTTTATATTTATCAGTTTTCTCTAAATTATCCCTGGATACTCCCTCAACCATAATCAAGTAGAAGAGGGAGAGAGGTATTAAGAAAAATGATTATGGTGTTTTAGGAAAAATGTATCACTTTTCTTATAATTAACTAACTTGCCTAACTTCTTTAATCTAATCAAATTAGTTAAATGGGTCTTATATTAAGGGCCAAAGGAATATATATATAAAGATATTTTATTTGCTTAAAATGTAAACTTTGTTGTTTAACATTAACCCCGTATATATTAACTAATTAATAATGCTGAAATTTCTTGAAATTGAAAGCACATGGGAGGCCCATTCTTGTAGTGATGTTTTTGTTTTACTTTCTGATTTGCCATCGCATCAACTCCAGCTCTGAAGCGCCAAATAAGCCCAAGAGAGTGCATATATATTAATCACCCCACCTCAAAAAAGAGAATCAAACTAATTCGCACAGTCTATATCACCTTTCCTTCCACTTGAAACTTCGCTTCGCCCATAAACGGACATAATTTATATGCATTTTTCATATAAAATTCACATATTTGAAGAAAAAATTAACAATAATAGTAATTTTTTTGTTTGGTCAGTGTTATGTGTGCGTATATTTCAAAGGAAACTATTGGAAACAATTATTATTACTTTTCCCTCTTTTGATCATCCTCTCCCCTCGTTCGCTTCTACAGAAAAACATGAGCGGAAAGGGAGGGGCCCCGCTTGCTACGTGGCACTAGTCCCTCATAAAGAACACCGTACGTGATGGTGGCGTGCTGTAGAGGAAAGCGCGCTCTTTGGCCCCCCGTGCTCCCATTTCACTTTCACTTCATTTTGGAATCCCGAAACTGGTACACCAAATACGTTCTTGGCTTTCGAGCCCACCTTTCGATTTTGATATTTGAATTTTATGCGTTGCTTTTCCCTTCTTTCCCATTCTTTTGCCGCTCTCGCTCTCTCTCTCTCTCTCCAAACTTGAATTTGATATTAAAGAATTACGTAAATTCAATGAATAGAGAGAGTCTTCTGTACTGGTGTGCCCTTTTTGACTCTCAGGTGTAACCCCTGTAGCCACCCCGTAGTTCCAGGAAGCCGCGCTGCTTTACTTTCTCTCCATATTTTGAATTTCAGGTTCTTACCAACATTTAACTTGTTTTGTCTCCGGGAATTTATGCTTTGTTTTTGTTTTGCGTCGGGTTGTTGCATTGTTGCTCTCTTCAGCTTGAATTCGTTCTCAAGAATTCTCACTTTACCATCGTTCTTGTCAGTTCTTTGATTTCCTTCGAGGAGTTTGCAACAAATGCTTCTGTCGTAAATGATGCATTATAGTTAGCTTCCTCTGTTTTTTTCCCCCTCGCCCTGGGAAGTCACAAGTACGCAAGAATACTTCAGTTTTCTTGTGGAAAGAAAGCCTAGGTTTGCAGATTGATTGATAACGAAGGTACGGAAACCCACAACATTATCAAAGTAAGAGGACTATAACAGTTCGTGTGATATAATCTGCCCTGCTCGTATTATTTAACGGGAGTGACAAAACTAATAGCTGGCTTTCTATGAAGCTGATCTTCTGCTTTTCTTTAGGGAGTTCAAACTCTTGTACTCATTTTTCATGCCTTAAAAATTTAAAGTTTCCTTTTACCCTCTTAGTTTATTTCTTAAATACTGTGCTTTTTCCTATGAACGAAATCGGGTTGACGCGCACGAGGACAACGAGTGCGTTGAGCTTTTGGTGTCTCTTCGATTATATAATAGATGATGATTCTTTTCGAGGGAGGGACAATTCTGTTAACAGTCATCAATTGCTCTCCAGTTCATAGTTTTGCTCTTTTTGTTATTTTTTTTTTTCGTGATTAAATTAAGCGTTGCTACTTGGTAATACCTCCAGAAATGGCGCTCTATATGTAATCTTCAGAGGGTGGTGTGATTCCGGTTCAAAATGGAGCAGTATGAAATTCTAGAACAGATTGGCAAAGGTTCCTTTGGTTCTGCTCTGCTTGTGAGGCACAAGCATGAAAGGAAAAAGTGAGGATGATTCCAGACTCTGTTCAAATCCAATATTACATGTCCTTTTACACTTTACAGGTTAAATTGTAAAGTAATATACAAGAAGTTATGTATTTTGGTATATACCAGATTATTTTTTATTTATTTCACTGTCTCCATTCAATAAGGTATGTCCTCAAGAAGATCCGCCTTGCTCGTCAAACTGATAGAACCCGTAGATCTGCCCACCAGGAGGTACCCTACTTGCCTTCCTTTTTAATTCTCTCACTATTACATCCGATTTTGGCTTCCCTCTTTCTGGCGGGGCTTGATTAATAGTGATACTTAATATTTCGAGATACAAAATGAAATTTAGTCCTGTCGTTTTTTATATAGTTAAAAAACAGATTCATGCTTACAGCTCACGCATCTCCACTTATTCAGCACCGCATTAAACTGAATGTCATTTTGTCCTCATTGGTTTATGTTGTGATTCTGGATTTACTACTCCACTTTATCAAATTGTAAGATGTTTCACTGGTTTTTTTTTTAATTTTTTGTTTTGCAGATGGAGCTTATCTCTAGAGTACGAAATCCCTTCATAGTTGAATATAAAGATTCCTGGGTAGAAAAGGTCAGCTTATGATTATTCATATTAATTATTTTCTAAATTAGAACTTTCTTACTTTGTTGTTCCATTCCTGCTTCTGCCTTTTTGTTTGGTTTACTTTCCCAGAGAGCTCAGAGTTTAAATTTTGGTTTATGTTGATCCCGATGACTTGTTTTGGTTTGAAATTTTAAAAGTTTGCTTTTCTCCTGTTTGTTTATGAATGTTACATCTTTGCTTTCTTTCTAATGGAGATGTTTATAATGGGAAATCCTTCTACATTGCATTAAATGGAGGCCTAATTCATGTGATTGATTTATGATTATGAGATTGATAAGTTGGTGTCTTCACTTCCAGGGCTGTTTCGTGTGCATTGTCATAGGCTATTGTGAAGGTGGAGACATGTAAGTTATGGTTTACAGTCAATTCAAGTTTGTGGGAAGTCAGAAATTGTGTACGGCATGTTTAACTTGTTCTTGCTACTTGAGTAATCCTTCTATGACTTATCTCTTTGGTACAGGGCAGAAGCTATTAAGAAGGCTAGTGGTGTTCATTTTCCGGAAGAGGTTGGTCATTGTCATAGCAAGTCATTCAACTTCTGAGCCTGATTCATAGTTTTCACTTCTCTACTCTGATTTGGATACGTAAGTTGCTAATATTTACTAAACTCTGTACAGAAACTTTGTAAATGGCTTGTTCAACTCTTGATGGCCCTTGATTACTTGCATGCAAACCATATCCTTCATCGTGATGTTAAGGTAAATGGCTTCTATAATTTAATAGTTATTGATGTTATGCAGCTAGGACATATGAGAACCTAGAGAACCAACACACTTTTATGTTTTCCCACATTTTCAGTGCTCTAATATATTCTTGACAAAAGATCAAGACATACGGCTAGGTAATGACTTGCTTTAATCCTTCCTCATTTGCTTGTAGGCTTCATAAATGGGTAAAGACATCCCTGAGTCTTATTTTGTAGTGTATAGTCCTTATGCTATGCGTGTTGAATGCAGGTGATTTTGGTCTGGCTAAATTACTAACATCTGATGATCTTGCTTCATCTGTGGGTGATATGGGCTGGATATTGACTTCATTTACCGGTTGCTTTTTCTAAACTGATTAATAATTCTATGCTCTTGCTTTTAACTAAGGTTGTTGGCACTCCGAGTTACATGTGTCCTGAGCTTCTTGCTGATATACCTTATGGTTCTAAGTCAGATATCTGGTCGTTGGGTAGGATGAATTTCTACTGTATTCTCAAACTTATCTGAGTTTTAACTACATTTTGGTTCTCTTACTATACCCTGAGTGCGCTTGATATTGGACATTTGGACGTAATTTATACTTTTTCCAGGCTGCTGCGTATATGAAATGTCTGCCCACAAGCCAGCTTTTAAAGCTTTTGTAAGTCACTGTCTAAAATTGCAAGTCGTTAGCAATTCTTTTATGATTTGTATCTCTGAGTGTGCGCGCTCTTAAGTCTTGGGATTTTGGTGGGGATACAATCTTCTGGCACACTGAATATCTTGTTGAGTCTCGAATGTCCATAGTGATGTTTAAGCTATTTCATACTTGAAGAACATTTTGCATCTTATTCATCAGAACATTGACTTGAAGGCACAGCATTTAAAGGGAGAAAAGGGAAAAAAAATCTTCTTTCATAGTTTTATTATCTTCGTTATGCTTACTTGACTACTACGTTATTAGGTGTTATTTAAATTCTTTTCAATTACTCAAATAGGTGGGAATTATATTATGGAGCAATTTCAGAATCTGGGTATATTGTCACGCAATATACATTTTAATATAGTCTGTTGTTTTCTGTTTAAACAGGATATGCAAGCATTAATTAACAAAATAAACAAGTCAATTGTGGCTCCTCTGCCAACCATGTATTCTGGCGCTTTGTGAGTTTTCGTTGTCTCAAGAATTGAGTACCTTAGACATTTGTCCTGTCTTTCTTCTCTTACAATTGTCGTAGTACCAATATTTATGGAACTTTAAAGATGTCGGTGCCTGCTCTAGGCGACCACACATGTTATTAATCAAACTCAAAATCACCCTTCTATGCGTTTATTTTTTTATAAGGCCTGTTATTACATTTTATGCCCTTGCTTTGATTGACTGACTTCCACGTTATTGAGGAAATGTCCTTCAAAGACTGGTTAACAGCTTTAAATATACTCAAACCTTGTAATAATACCATTCACTTCCGAGTTATATTTGACAGTAATTATTCTTGTTTAGCTGTAAGTAATCCTGTTTTGCTTAGCTCTTTTATAACTCCAGATCTACAATCTCGGTGTTGCCTCTCATTCTGTCTCCAGAGTTACTGTCCCTTTTTCCTACTCATCTGGTGACGTCATTTATTTGTGTATCTTGTGAATAACACGTCTATTCTTTCAGTCGAGGGCTTGTCAAAAGTATGCTACGGAAAAATCCAGAGCTTAGACCAAGTGTATGTTTTCTCTCTTCAGAATCTGATGGTTAACTTGTATTTTTTGGGTGACATAACGGTGGCCTAAGCCCAAAAGTCTGGTCACTGGTGGTCAACCCTGTTCTGATCTATTTGCTCAAAACTAATTATGTGGAGTTTGTTGTGTCAGGCTTCAGAGTTGCTAAATCATCCGCATCTTCAGCCCTACATTCTTAAAATTCACCTAAAACTAAACAGCCCCAGAAGAAGTACTTTTCCATTCCAGTGGCGTGAGACGAACTACGTAAGGAGAACACGGTTTGTGGAGCCAGACTCTGTTTCTACCCTTTCTGATAGAGATAAACGATTGTCATTTAGCAATGACAGGGCCTTGAATCCTAGTATTTCTGGAACTGAAAAAGATTCTCAGGGTTCAACTCAAAATGGTCATCGATTTTCCACTCATTCAAGGGAGAAACTGTATGAACTGTCTGTTGGTCGCGCCCGTGAAGAATGCATAGCTAACAAGTCAAAAGCCACAAAGTTCTCGACCATTGATGGCAATACTCCAAGATTGAGAACAGCTAAGGATTCTGCCACCCCCAGAAGGCAGTTAACCCCATCAAAAATATTTCATGCTGGTTCAAAGCGTGATTCAGTAGTTTATACATAAACAATTCTCAGAAGCTCCTTTTCATGATGACGTGTTGTGAATGGGACAATGGAAATTGATGTTATTAATATTGAGATAATTGAGTTAGAATTTCTCTCTATGATATCAGAATTTGTCATATTGAATATCATACAGCCTGAAGAAGCTGCGCATTAAGTAACATGTTTGCTTATCTTTTCAGCTTCCGGTGTCTCATGCTCCAGCAGGAAATTCTTCTCCACCATCACGTAGAGCATCTCTTCCGCTGCGTACAAGAGTCATGACCACAGAAACCTCTTACAGAGCCAAAGTTGGTCTCCTCCGGAGTGTGGAGTCTCCAGATGTTTCTGTTAATGCTCCCCGAATTGACAGGATTGCTGAATTCCCTCTTGCATCTTCTGAGGAAACTATCTTCGCTGTCCCCAGCAGGTCATCAGCATCTGTCATTTGCTCTTCTAGTTCACCAGTTGGTGCTGTTTGTTCAATCACAAAGGACAAGTGTACTGTTCAGGTTGTGGACAAAGCCATGGCAGCCCCTGCCAGCGTGAGTGATACTTGTCCTGAAGCTTCAGGTCCAGGATATGGAAGTGAATGCTCTGAGCATGTCACGGCTGATGTTTCAAGTCGTTCATCTGCAGAGTCACGACAGCGTCGGTTTGACACCTCGTCTTACCAGCAACGTGCTGAGGCATTGGAGGGGTTGCTTGAGTTCAGTGCGAGACTCCTACAACAACAGAGGTTTGATGAACTTGGAGTGTTGTTGAAGCCATTTGGACCTGAGAAGGTTTCTCCAAGAGAGACAGCTATTTGGTTGACGAAGAGTTTTAAAGAAACTGTGGTCTAAACCTATGGTCTGATGCCCTTGTGATCAATCTATCTCACGGTGTACATTTTTTTTTTTGGACTGATCGGTGTACATTAAACATCTGTTTGTAGAATTTTAACTGACGAGCTTCTAGGTTCTAGCTTTCGTTTTGAGATAAGACAAACTGAATCTTAAAATTTTATACTCATTTTCCCTGTGATGTCCGCAATGTTAAGGGTAACATTTCAAGATAGTCAAATGTTAGGTCGCGTGTAACTCTGCTAATAATTTGGTGTTTGGTTTGTAGTGCCGTCTGGTATGTTAGTCTAGTAATTTAGAAGCCCATGCGGGGCCGAAAAAGGATAAAATTGTCCTCAGATGACATTTTTCTTTTTTTGGGTTTTAATTTGCACAAACCACCCCCTAAACTTCAAATATTTTTTTTAGACCTCTTATTAAGGTAATTTTGTTCGGAAGATTGTTGGGTGTGGACACTTTTTCAGAAATTCAGATTTTGAGTGACTATGCTGTTAGGGACTTTTTTTTTTTTTGGGCTATACAGACTTACCCAAATAGCCTAAACGATTTTTACCGGAGGCCGTTTTACTTTACCGACGGAGGCCGGCAGTAGTCGCGCCGTCCTGTTTTCTATTCTTTCTTACTTCTTCCGGTAACCGGAAGATCAAGCAAAGGGCATAGATAGATCAGAGATGGAAGAACCAGAGATCCTAGAACTATACGAACTTGACTATTCGGATCTCGTTCTCTTATCTTCAACCTCATCGACCTCACCTGAGGAGTTCGGCAAAGTCGAGAGAGTGGCGAAAACAATAATGGAAACCCTAGGGCCGGTGGGTCCAGGCGTCCTAGCAGTCACTGGTGTTCCCAGAACGTCCGAACTACGCAAGGAGTTTCTACCTCTTGCACGGGAGCTCGCGCTTCTTGACCATGAAAGCCGTAAACGCATTCTTAAGGTAGCCCCTGTGAATTAGTTTCATGACTTCCGTCCTTTTCCTTCATGTATACTTCAATTTTCTCCAATTTTAAGTCTATGATTTTTCACTGCCACTTTCATTATTTACGTACAGCGTGTTCTGGGGAATATGATTTGAATTGTTTTCTTACGTGAGAACTCCCTTGTCCTGTTCTGTTAACAACTTTGCGAAAAGAAATGTTTTGCATAGAATCTTCTCTGCAATCATACATGGAAATTTTAGTTTTGTTCTTTGATTACCATTTTCTTGGATTAGAAGCTTCAGAAGCAGATCGGATGCTAACATTTGATTGAGTTCTAGCTTTTATTTTGGAACGGATTTTGTGATTTTTATTAAATATGGTCAAATCTTAAAAAAAGAAAAATAGTTCCATACTATTTTAAGGAGCTCAGATGCCTCATTGGATATAAATTTCTTCTCACTTCTTTGTTATATGCTTCTGTCTTGAACTGCAGTGATGTACGCTTATGCCTTTGAGCATGTCTGGCCAAGTATAATAGCTATCATTCGTTTGCTTAAATTTTCTCTTTACAAACTCAAGTTGGATTATATTCAATTTTGTAGGCGTTCTCATTGTACTTCCATGCTTTTCTAGGAGCACAGCTTGGGTAGCGATGTTCCTTTAAAAAATCCAGATAGGAGCGTGTCCTCCTTTGCTATGCAACTGAAATATGCAAATGCCACAGTATTAACTGAAAGTAAACAAAGTAGAGGAGCAGATTACGAATTACATTCTGAAGATAATCATCAAGAGGTTGATCAGATGATGTCAGAATGTCACGATATGAAATTTAAGAATCTAGGGATTATTTTCAAAGAACTGGGATTTTGCATGATGGAGCTGGGGCTTCGCCTTGCTCAAATATGCGATAGGGCCATTGGAAGCTGTGAGTTAGAGCAGAGTCTCTTAGAATCATGTGCAGCAAAGGGGCGTCTTATACATTATCATTCAGTTCTAGATGGACTCCTTCTTAAAGAACCTGACAGGCGCAAGAGAACTCGCAGGGTTAATATCAAAATGGATCAGGAATGCATAAATACAAAGGGCCAGAAACAATTGAAAGGGTCAGAGTTAAATTCAAGTGCCTATGATGCTAATTCGTCTGGGATTCATTCTAATTTGTGGCAGCAATGGCATTATGATTATGGCATATTCACTATTCTAACAGCTCCCTTCTTTCTTATGCCATCTTGTTCGCCGACAACCGAAACAGAAGAGCCATTTTCTGCATCTTGTTATGAAGAATTACCTTCGCCATTTGGGCACACTTCTTTGCAGTTATATGATCCAAATAAGAATGAAGTGTTTATGGTAAAGGCTCCACCAGAGAGTTTTATTATTCAAGTTGGGGAATCTGCTGATATCCTTTCAAAAGGAAAACTTCGCTCAACCTTGCATTCCGTATATAGACCTACGAAATACGAAAATTTAAGCCGAGAAACTTTTGTTGTATTTCTGCAGCCTCCATGGAATAAAACATTCTCTTTCACAGACTATCCTTCGGCTAACACAACGTCTAATGCTCGGTGTTTGATGGCGTCTGATGATGAACCATCGTTTGGGCAGGATAAAAGTAAACTGTGTGACGAAATTCAGAGAATAGTTCCACCACTATCTTCAAGGTTGAAGGATGGGATGACTTTTGCTGAGTTCTCGAGAGAAACAACGAAGCAGTATTACGGGGGCAGCGGTTTGCAATCTAACAGATAGCTATATTCTGATCATCCCTCTTTCTAACTTCAATGTGTCCTTTGTCACATCAGTTGATTCCCTCTAGTTCACCTAACCTACAGTGTATGGAGTGATTGATTTCCGTTTATACAGTACTTTGTTTTTTTTTTTTTTTAACATGAAAAACAATACTTTGGATTCATATCGGTTTTTATTTAAAATGTTCAAAATTAATTTTATCACTGTTAATCCAAACCCACTATTATTCCTAAATCCAATGTATCTTTTTATATTTGACAGTTTTCGTTGGGGGTTGAATAGTAGAGATGCCCTCGGTACTTTAAACCTAAGGCTAAACCATAGAGTAATGATTTGGGGAGCGGCTGCTAAGTGGTATCTCCACGGGGGGATTTTCTTTCGAGAGTCTTTTGAGGGGGTGGGTACTACAGTACTTCATGCACGTCCGAGCTTGATTTTTCCTTTTTAATTCCCATAGTTTCTGCAGAGGATATCAAGCAGGCAACCATAACCTTTACAGGTGACAATGTGACGTAAATAAAACAGAAGTTTTCTTCATATGGCTATCCATTAGATAATGAGGATCACATTTCACGCTCTTCTTCCCACCTTCTCCCTCACGGCATCCTCCATGCTTACTTTCACTTGTTCCAGCCGAAATTTTAGTCTGGGAAGCTTCTTGTCTTGGCATTTTGCGTCAACTCACTACATCAATTCCAAGAACTTTTTTTAAAAAAAAAAAATAAAGAGGATACAATGATACACCATGCATGAGAGAGTTAAGTGTAAGTAAACTTCGTTACATACGTTAGGTGTTAAGAAATGCATGCAATTAGGAGCAAGAGAATCCTAAATCTTGAATTTTATGGCAATGTCATTGGTTTGATGAGCTAAACTGATTAGCACGAGTTATGACTTCCTAAAAATATGTTCGGATATGATAGCTCAATCACTTATCATAATTTCTTTTATCTTCTTCAATGTGTTTATTCAAAGATACTAGTTTGTATCTTGTTCCATTCAAAGAACTCTAATGATACCCAACCAACAAATGTTTGGAAATCTGTTTTGACCCAGAACATACATTTTCTTAATGCAACAATTTGGTACGTTTAGGAAAACGTTTTAAACCCCAAAATGTGAAGACGGATGTTTCCCGTAAGACGTCGTTATATCATTACATATAAGTGTCTTTCTTTATAATGGGCAGAACATATTTAGTTCAAAAATGGGGTAAAACAGATAATTCTTGTTTTATTCCTCTGGGAGTGGGCTAAATAAGAGTTTGTGTTTTGCTTGCTAGGGGGAATAAATGAGCACCCGGTAAAGGACAGAGGCCTGAGAAAAGAAGCCTACATGCTTCTATATTTTTAGGTGCAATGATGCAGCTAGGCCATGCTTTCTCTTTTCCTAGTGGTCCAAAAGGGTTAGGCAGGGTCGCTAAAATTGACTTTAAAAGAACAAAATCGGAAAAGAATAGAAAAAAATATGTATTTTCTTGAAAATAACAAGGAAAGCAAGGAAAGCACATTAGGATAGCAATTGAAGTGAAAGGGAGGACTTGATCATTGGGAAAATGAGGCAAAAGGAATAAAGTTTATGGCTTTTGTCAGTAGTAATGAAGGTGGGAACGAAACACTTTGAAAACATAGAAGTGAAGGCTGTTGTTTCTCTTGGCCCTTCTGCTTGTTCTGTATGGGAAATTATGAGGAGGGATTTCAGCTCATGGGGCTGGAAAACGAAAACTTGAAAAAAAGGCAGAGGTGATGACGTCTGTAGGCACGCGCATTTTAGCACATGTCCCCTCCTTCTGGAATTCAGCTTTTGTGTCCATTACTGTGCAGAAATTTGCCTCAGCTCAACTTTTGTTTGGACTTGCTCCCATGTCGGCCTCTGACGTTGCCAACTCTTACTGCATCAAGAGACACCATCACTCTCCCCTCTCCTCCAAACCCTAAGGCCCTCTGACATATCCCATTGCTGTGTCAGATCTCAGCTTCTGATTCATCCCTGCCATGAAGTAATGGTCCTCCTATAGCTTTGTATCCCTGCAAGAGACCCATTTTTGTTAATTTAGTGACCCTTGACCGCACATTGTCCCATTGATTTGTCCGTACCAAGCCGAAGCCAACCTCTCTTGGGTGGGGGTTAGTGTTAAAGCCATTTGAAAGCTTTGGACGATATGTACAGTTGGAACATGGAATGTGGAAGTAATAAATCTTCCTTCTTTAAACATATGATGACAACAGTTCCCTTCATTAACATGACAACTCGAGACTCGCAGAGCTTTGCCTCACTAGTGCCTAAGCTGGGTTAATTCCTAAAATGTTGAGGAAACAACAGTGATGTCATTACTCGTACCTGATCTTTATATGTCTATTCAAATAAAAAGGAGTGATTATTAATTTGCTTCGCCTTTGAGTGCCCTCTTGTGAGGCGCCAGCCGTATTCAGTTTTTCTAAACGGTCTGCTTGAAGCAGTCCCACAGCATCTGTTCACACGAAGTGATGTGGCTTTGAAGTTTGAACACAATCCGACCAAGATTATATACCAATATAATATTGCAATATTAGCATCCAACAATTTTTTCCCGAAACAAAAAAAGTTATCGTGTCAGTGTCTTCTTCGTAATTATGTCCACTGTTGCTCAAGATTCAAGATCCTACTTTGGTCCATTTGGGGATGCGGGTAAATGCTTTGTTGTAACTTTAAGACATTGTGCCACTAGGCCCTAATATAGTATAGTGAATTGCATACTTTATAACAAATGATATGAATCGAGTTATCACTATGGCTCCATAATGATAGTTCAATCAATGAGTAAAGCTCCCCTTATAACCAAAAAAAATAAAATCGGAAATAAATATCTGAGTCACTATGTCACAAAATTCCCCCAATGCCCTCTGTTCTCTGTTATAGACAGATGCAGAAAACAGAGTACTTAGCCACATGGCGTTTGACCATGCTTAGACCCATCCTTAGCTTTTGTTATTTTCCCGGCCAGATTTTACACTAAAGGACATTAGCATTCAAACACTCCTACTCACTACCTCAGACTATTCCCTCCACGCACACACATATATATCCTCTAGGCCATGCCCTCCCTCAACGTCGAAGACCACTCCCTCGAGTAGTTCACATCCCTTGCCCTGACATGGAAACCAGGTTCTCAATTAATGCTCGCCGCCCGGAATATTTTCCTACCGGCGGAACCCATTTGCCGGAGAGCCCAAGAGTGCCAATGGAGTTTCTGTCGAGGTCATGGAGTGCCTCCGCTTTTGAGGTCTCCAAGGCTCTGGCTCCTCCGCCACCTCCTCCTCCTTCTAGCAACGTGGCTTCCAAGTCTGCGAATGGGTCATCTTATGGTGCTAGCTCTATTCCTGAAGATGCCGCCGGTGAGTCTGAGGAGTTGTCAATCATACCTCGGAACCAGTTCTCATTCGCCTCTTCTGCTACTTCACAGCTTGTGCTGGAGCGCATTATGTCACAGTCCGTGAGAGAGGTGTTTTCTTTGCTCTAACTTGGTGTATTTTAATTCTCTGTTTGGTTCTCGAGAAAGAAACTTAAGAAGTGAAAGCATGTTTCGCAAAGTATTGTCCCTCCGAAAGCAAAAGAAGGGAGCCGTCTAACAGAGCAGAAATCTTTGTCACGCTCTGTTTTTCCGTCATCCATTCTAACTACAAAATGTTATCTGTGATTTGGTCCCATTTATCTATGTTTTCTCATATCATGGGGTTTTAAGTTTGCGTCTGATGTATGTGACAGGAAGTGTCGCCATTAACGTCAGGGAGACTCTCTCACAGCAGCGAACCTATGAACGGTGGTGGTTCGTTAACCGGAACGGATAGCCCACCAATTTCTCCGTCTGATGAATTTGACGACGTCGTTAAGGTATCTCTTTAACACTTTTACCTCTTTTGGTTAGCGGGAGAAGCGAATAGTGTTTCCTCGTGAGTGCTAGTAATTTTAGTAATATATGCGACTACTCTGACTCACACCAACTTCTCTGTTTTTTATGCTCTGTTCTGGTTCTCGAGCTTCTTCCTCGAGCTGCTGCAGCCACTTCTTTCTTTCTGTTTTTTGTTAAAATAAATTTTTAAGTGGTGTAAGGAAAGGAAAAACGGAAAACAGAACACTGTTACTTTTGTCTGTTTTTCAGGAAAGCTTTCCTTATTCTACTAAAGGAATTTTCAAGTTGTCTTGTCCAACAAGGAAGACTACCTTAAAAGCCACCGAAAGAAAATGAGTAAAATGTAAAAAATTTATTGGGGATAAAAAAGAAAGAAGCTCGAGGGCCCATCTGTGCCTCGAGATGGCGCCGATTTACCTTGTGCATATAGCTTATTTTAAGTTTGGATCAAAAGCATTTTTTTTTTTAAATCGAGATAAATTTTTTTATATATTTATTTTATAAAAATATTTTTAAAATCTTACTTATAATTTCATCCAAACACTCTTTTGAGTCTCTCCCATCTCTTCCTGGAAGAAAGGTCTACTCAAATACCTACAAAACTAGATTTACTCTCTGTTGTTGTTCACTCATTTGAAAGTAATAAACTTTTGATGTGTAAAGAGTTCCCCAAGATCCACTTAAGTTAGGAGTAATCTTATTTCCCCTGAAAGTAGTGTGAAAAGAGGGTAAAGGGAAGGAAACGATAGTTAAGAAGTGGGCTAATTTCTAAATCGCCAAGTGACGTCACTAATTAAGAAAACCAAAATAAAGTATTCATTTGAAGATAACAATAGTGAAGTGGGTCGTAGCGATATATTTCAGATCAAAGGTCTAGTCATGTCTTCCATTTCCAGTCAACTTGCTGCTTGCTAATGCAAACACGACATAGCGACAGACTCCACTGTTTCTTCTTTCACCCGATTCAAGTGTACAGTTATATTATTCTGGGCATTTGGTTTTTACCCTAAAGACCAAACGAGTTATCTCATAGGGTGACTGGTCGGTACTGCGAAGGCAGAGGAAGTGGCCCAAGCAGAATTTATAGCATTCTTATAATCGACTGTATCTCTGATTCTCGTGTCTCCTCTCTCCCATACTGTATGTAACATGGGTAAAACTAATCAACAAACAAGATTGCCAGCAGTTCTCCAGCCTTATAATTAATACAATTAAAATAATGTCAATCATAGATCAAAAAGAAAGTTCACAGTGGTCCGGCCTGGTAGAATCCAAGGAAATAGTGTGTTCTTTTGATTGGTTCTCAAAAGACGTGCATGCATGTGTTGCAACAGTTTTTCCGGTCCAACAATTCCATACACCCATTGTTCAATGGCGGGCGAGGCAGCGGCGCGATAGGGAACGGGACGCCCAGTGGAGGACCCAAAACAGTTGGGAGATGGTTGAAAGAGCGAAGAGAGAAGAAAAAAGAAGAGAGCAGAAGCCACAATGCTCAGCTACACGCCACGGTTTCGGTGGCAGCAGTGGCGTCCGCCGTGGCAGCCATAGCAGCGGCAACGGCAGCTTCATCTGCACCGCACAAAGATGAGAGGATGGCCAAAACAGACATGGCGGTGGCATCCGCAGCAACATTAGTTGCAGCACAATGCGTAGAGGCTGCTGAAGCAATGGGAGCCGAGAGAGACCACCTTGCTTCGGTGGTCAGCTCCGCCGTGAATATTCGCTCTCACGATGATATTACCACTCTTACCGCCGCCGCTGCTACGGGTAGGCTAATAAAATTTATGAAACACGCGCACATTATAAATGATGTATGATTGAGGGATGTGGTTTTTGATATGCAGCTTTAAGAGGGGCAGCGACGTTGAAAGCAAGAGCATTGAAGGAAGTGTGGAATATTGCGGCGGTGACACCATTGGAAAGAGGCGTAGGACTCGGGATATGTGGAAAAGGCGGCAACAACACCAATAACAGTAACACTAGCACCAGTGACAGTGGAGAAATTGTTAACGTGGACAATTTTCTGGGTGTCTGCAGCCAAGAACTTCTCGCCAGAGGCACCGAACTCCTCAAACGCACCCGTAAAGGTTATATCAATTTGCTGCTTATCGCACCGACTCTATTCTCTCATTTAGGATATGTAAATTAATTACGAACACCATTTTGTTGGTAAATGCAGGTGATCTTCACTGGAAAATAGTTTCTGTTTACATACATCGAACGGGGCAGGTGATGCTGAAAATGAAGAGCAAACATGTTGCAGGGACCATTACTAAAAAGAAGAAGAGTAAGCTGCCATTTAGTTTCTTTGTTCTTACTTCCCAGGATCGTATTGATTGTGATGAAGAGGAATAATTTGACCATGGAAAACGCAAGCCGTAACTCGTGCTTTTGATGCTGCAGATGTAGTGCTGGATGTGTGCACGGATGTACCGGCATGGCCAGGAAGGCATTTGTTTGATGGGGGAGAACAACGAAGGTACTTTGGGTTGAAGACAGAATGCAGGGGAATCGTGGAGTTCGAGTGCAAGAATCAGAGGGAGTATGACATCTGGACTCAAGGAGTTTCAAGGCTTCTATCTATTGTCGCGGAGAGCAAAAACAGCAGAGGAAATTGAGCTCTATTCCAGGAAACCACGGAGCTAGTCTCACGTTGCATATTTTTATAATCTGAAACATTCCTGGATGCTTAAGAGCACAATTTGTAGAAAAGTAGGAATGATTTGTTGGCGACAAGGAACGTCTCAATTCCCCGAAAGCCTTAGAATTATGTTTAATGAAGTGGTACCATGCCTAATCTCAGATATCGACCAGGTAGAGGAAGGTCAGAAGCAACCACCCCATATACCCTATGGTTAGATGGAAATTAAGAAATGGAGCAAAGCAAAAACTCTTGCACGAAACAACACATCTGCATAGTGGAAGGAAAACCCTTCACCTCTAAGAAATGCCTGTATCCACATCGGAAAGCAGGTCGTACCAACTCCTAAAATAAACGCATGTATTGCTTGAAGCAAGTCAATCCATGAAACAAGGCATCTTATTCAACGCAAAAAAAACTCACACACACACACACACACACGCGACTAACAGCTTCAAGTTTACCTTTAAGAACAGTCATGAGCTCAGGGCTGAAAATCCTTAGCTGAAACATAAGATTTTCATCGGAAATTTAGTTAACCAAACCAAACCGCGATACTCACTATGAAAGGCACTCACGCATATGCCACAAAGAATAGTACCAGGCCATTGAAGCAGGGCAGCCTCAAATAAGGTAGATAAATTTACTCCCTCGACTTGCAATAGAAGAATCTATCATTGCAAATGAAAAAGTAAAGACATTCGGAAACGTATTTACAATTCCGTTTCAACAACTATTTACCAGTGTAGTGACACGACTCATTTGCATACGTTCTCCCTAAGCTTACACATGAAGTATAGGCACGTGCATTTATTGACATGACTTCTTTTTTCTTTTTTAGCACCGGCTGATATATGGCAAAAAGATTATGGGAAGGAATACGTGCAACGATTATCTCTTTAGCCATCGGCAGCTCTGAAGATAGTAAGCAAAGCGAGGAAGAGGTTGATGATGTCCAGGTACAATGACACCGCGGCCCAGATATACTCATCATAGGAGTACCTTTTGATGAGGTTGTCTGTATCATAAACAATGTAACCACAAAATATAATGGCTGCTAGACACCCATAGATCATCACTGATATCTTACCCAGCGGAAAGAGAATCTGCAAGAGAAGAAACATATTACTAAACCACAGAATATGAAAAGTGGCTAATACATCTTAGGCCGTTATATTTTGAGACCATAGTACCTGAATCAGAGCAAAGACCAATAGAACTATCACAGCACCGAACAAAAAGGGGCCGAGGAAGTTGAAATCTTGGCCTCTCCTAGCAGCCCAGAAGGTGTAGAAGGTCAAGCTGAGCACAACCACTGCAGTTAGGATGACCGCTTCAAGGATAACCTTCCCTGTTTTCAATCATTCAAGGGGGAAAGTCAGGTTATCAAGGAAAATTGGCAATTGGCTGTGACTTGAGGAATAAAACTTATTACCGTACACTCATAATGCAATAAGCCAATATCCCATATCCGTTACCCACGTGTTTACAATGAAGAACTTAGAAAACAATAAAATTCAAATATCATCTTCACTATTTTTTTTCCTTTTTTTTGGTGACACATCCTCATCTTCACTGTTTTTGATAAATAAGAGGAGTAACCCGATAGAAGAGGCACATATACATCACTTACATTCAGAGTATTAATTTCTCAATATTAAAAGAGGAGAAACGGAAAAGAAGTAATAAATCACTAATCGCATGGGTATGCTTATCCGATCACACACCAGGGTACATAAGCTGACACGTAACAAAAGTCAACCTCAGAGCTATTACACTGATATAAACCTCCCAAACTACAGAATACCAAAGCGATATTCCAATCCGCAGGGCACATAACACATGCACAAAAGAATAAGGCAATAGGCTACAATCCACAAGAATGGATGTGCCCTAACTCCCAATTTAAGCGTAATCCTAGAACTAGATACGGATGTTCTAAAATTCGAATTCAGATCAGAGATATTCAGGAACTGGTTAGAATCGCACATCAAGCATGGAAACTCCAGAGGACCTAAACTTAAGCAAGCAGGGGATTAGTCCATAAACCATATGCCAATTCTAGGGTTTTATGATTGAAACGACAAAATCTTTTTATTGTGGCAATAGACTTAACTTTCTATCGCAGTAATAGCAACATGTACCAATGAATAATAAATTATTAACAGATTAATAGCTCGGTAAATCTCTTCGGCCTTCAACTCGCGGAGTATCAAACGAGAGAGAGAGAGAAATAAAGAAAGAAAGAGATTGCTCAATCTTACCGCTGGTGAAGGCGCACGTTAATCCAACAGCAAAAGCCAGAGAAATCGTGAAAATTCCAAGAAGCACGTAATTTACCGGGTGCTTCTGGTGGTAATAGAACAGGGGGCATAGGACTGCAACAATTGGACAAAGACAGCGCTTAGCCAAATTACAGACTGACCACATAACAATAACGTCCGGGGGTAGTACAAAAATGAAAAATTGGCTATGAAAACGGAAAGAAAAGAATCAAGAACGTACCAATAAAAGGGGTGATGATGAGGATGATGTAGAGAGCCAAGCCGCCGCGGGATGAAACGAAGAAGTGCGCAATTGGGTGGACGGTGACGACGACGGAGGCAACAGCGATTGTGGCGAGCAACTGGATTGTTATGATTGAGTAGACCTTGCGAATGAAAGACCACCGAAGTTCAGGGCTTTCGAGCATCATAGGGTAGAGAGGCCTCGCTCCTCCGGCTTCCACATCAGTTTTGCGGTTGGGTTGGTTCCACATCGTCGTTGGGTGAATGAAGCTTGGTGTTCGCTCGTCCTATCGATCTCCCAAAGGTAGAGGATATGAAACCTCGAAGGCTTGACGGTTTATCTTCTGTTGTGCCTGATACCAGACAAGGAAATGATCGAACCCTTAAGACTCCGGCGGCAGTTTTTCTATACCGCGGTTTAGAAATGCGCCTCACAAGCTTCGTGAGGCATCCACGTTGTCCGCGAAATTATCCTTCCCAAATTGGATAGAGAGACTTTGTCATTTCTTTATCAATTGTTGCCAAAATCAATATCAATACTAATATTATAACAGGTCCTTATTTATATTTTTTTAATTTTTAAAGTCTTTTTTTTAAAGCAATTTTTCCTATTTTACAATCTTTATTGATTAATCATCCTTTTTGTAAAAGCCGCAGCGGGCACTGTAAAACCAAAGAACCCATCCGGACATCCAGTTTTTCTATTCATTTTTTAATATATATATATATATATATAGTGGAATGTGCAGTAGCACTGAAGAATGAGGGAGTGAGATCTCCAGTAAAATGCCCAAACACAAACTAAATGAGTGTGGGAAAATTAGAATCAAGAACGCTAGGGCGGAAAAACAATATTTAAGAGATTATAAATATTTAAAGAAATCATGTTCCGCACCGTAACAAGTGCAAAACTCTGGGTTATATGCTTCATGGCTTTCGTTGTGGTTCTGATCTTATCAATCCTGTTTGGATTTGTTGATGTTTGGGTCTACTAGGCTTTATGTTATGTACATTTTAATTTCAGATTGGGCTTGCAGGGGTCTTCATTAATCAGTACATGGAGAAAATGTTTTGAAGTTTACTTCGATAAAATTGTCTTTTTCATTAAAAAAGCCGAAAAAAAATAATGCGTAACCTGGATGAATAATTATTAATAATTGATTATTACTAGATACAAAACCAATTAGCATGCATGTCGTAAATACCGCAACAATCGGATATATATAACATATTAGTCGCCGTGTTTCAAAATTATTCCTTCACAACTCATTTTTGTACGGTATACGCATACATGACCGTAGAAGCATACATGACAGGTATTTGCCCTGTGACTCCGTGAGGAGTGAACGAGAAGGATCTCATGTTTTGGCATTAGCTTTGCGTAAAGATAATCCGCACCCGTAATTCCCGGCGAACTTTTCATCTATTGGATAACATCTCTCTTTTCTATTTGTTTTTAATCCTTCCACCCTTTTCTTGAGCATAAAAAAATATTTTTTTCAACTTTTTTAGTATGATGTGAGATAAATTCACAATGATATTCCATTTATTACTTCACTTTATTACATTCCATTCACTTTACACCTTATTATTATTTTTATTTTAATTCATTTTATTAAAGTTGAATGTCTGATCTCATTCTAACTAGCAGAGTAAAAATAAGTAGTAAAAATATAATTTAGAAAGGTGAATAAATGTTTTACAATTCAAAAAATAAATAGACAGACATATTATCTATACTACGTAGCCTCATGTTCTAAATCTAAGATCTAGTTTATAGTGAAAATAACATTACAAACTAGATTTTATATTTAAGACAGGAGGTAGTATATGCTTATCTTATAATTTTTGAACGTGTGTGTACATAATTATCAGCTATCAGCTGATTATTTTTCATTTTCCCCAATATTTAATAGGTATAAACCTAATGTTAAGTTTGGCTTGTTATGGTTCTCAGTTCCCATGGCATGGAATTTTTCATTTTTTCCTTTTAAATCATTCAAGAGATTAGGCGATAATGATATTAAATTTATTACGTAATTTAAATTTTTTGAGCACGATATAATATTTTTTACAGCACATACCAGTTTAACTATATAGAATTATCAATTCCCTCCCATAGTGAGAGGCGTGAACAAGAAGCATCACATGTTTTGGCATGAGGCTTGCGTAAAGATATACTGCACCCGTAGTTCCCAGCAACGTCTTCAACCTTTAACCTTTTTCTTTCCGGTGGCAACTGGACCCCCAATTAATCAAGTCCCTATCCATTGGCGGGAATAACTTAGTGACTCAGCAAACGCAAGCAGTAGTCCCAGAAGTCACCATGGATCCACCCATAAATATAGACAAACGTAGAAGTCAATCATGTTGGAGAAAGGAGGTAGCTAGCTTAGGTGGTGAGAAAATGGATACAGACCTGCTGGAAAACAAGAAGAAGCAGCTATTTTCATTTGCCATGAAAGGGAAATGGAAAGAGGTAATTAAACTGTACGAGGAGGAGCCAAGGCTTCACAAGGCCAAAATAACGAGGTCTGGAAGCACTGCGTTGCACGTCGCAGTGTCTGATGGCAACGAGGAGGCGGTGGAACGGATGGTGGAGCTCGCTGGGAGCTGCCCAAACCACTGTAAAGAGGCTCTGGAGACTCGGAATGACAGAAAAAATACTGCTCTGCATATAGCTGCTTCCATGGGCAATCTCAGAATGTGTCGACTCATTGCGCAGAAAAATCCCTCCTTAGTCGCCGTTCGAAACGTCGACGGTGAGACACCTCTCTTCCTGGCGGCTCTTCATGGCAGAAAAGAAGCGTTTCTTTCTCTTCATTATCTCTCTCACCCTACTGGTTCTCCCCCCAGTTGTGATAACTGTAGAAGGAACGACGGCGACACTGTTCTTCATTGTGCAATTGCCGGAAACTTCTACGGTAATATTACTTTGATCACGTTCATTTACTGATTTATGATCTTGAACTCCTCTCTGGTGATTATTATATGTTTATAATAATATTATGTTTAATACCATCTTAAATGGCAGATCTGGCATTCCAAATAATTCACCTGTATAGAGAACTGGTAAACTGGGTGAACGAAGGGGGGTTGTCTCCCCTCCATTTGCTAGCAGAAAAGCCTTCTGATTTTAAAAGCGGTAGCCGCCTTGGACGGTATGAAATGATCATTTATCACTGTAAGTACTAATTAAGTCATATTTGTTCACAGAAGTAAGGCTACTATTCTTAATGTCTACTCCGAATATCCATCTTCTTCATTACAATATGTATATGCGGGCGGGCGCCTCGTTTTACTGTTTGACAGGTATATATGTTGATGATCTTAAGGTGGTTGAGTCCAATCATCAATATTCATTCTTAGAGGCCGGAGAGCACAAAACAGATTGCAATCTTCCAGACAATTACGGGACTTGCTACGACTTTTTCGGGATCGTGAAAACTGGGCTCGCTGTTGGTACTTTAATTTCTTTTTATTCTCATTGTTCACATGTAATTTCATTCATATTATAACTACATTAACCCTCTAGACACATTATTATAGATAATTAATTAATATTTTAACTCACGTTAGTTTGTCATTTATGTACTGTATGTACACACACACACACTTCATCTCTGAATAAAGTCAAGCAGTTCATTCATTTGCCATGTTGCAATTTATTTTATGCAATGCATATGTCGTTTGTACGTGAAGCTTGATGTAAGTACAGTCTGCACACACATGCAGTATCAAAAACAAACACGAATTAAGGCGCACATCCCCAATATCATCTAGCATTACATTAAATGCATGATTTGTTTTTACTCTACTTCTTAGCTTTAGCTTGAGACATCAGCTTTTCATTTCCAGTAACCAACAAATTTCCAGTGGTTCACTTTTTGAAAGACAAATTTTTCTCGAAAGGACAGCCATCAAATAATGCAGGAGATCCCGAGGTGGCAAGAAATAATAACATCGCCGGTGAGGAATCTCCTGAATTTTGGTACATTATTTCTTCTTTTTTGCAATTCTACAGGAGAAAGCGAATTTTCTGGGCACAAGATGACAAGACCATGCACTTGTAATGCCCTCACCAATTCACAGTTCACATTACATTTGTCTATAGGATCAGGAAGTGGAGCTCATGATAATACGCGTCAGTTATATCCAGAAAACTACGAACCCTGCTGTAAATTTTTCAGATTTCTGTATCTGGCAGTGTCGGTAATTCTTGGCCAAGGTATGCTTATATCCATGAACATTCGTGTGTTACTTTAATTTGCAGGGTAGATATAGGAAAGCAAAATGTCCTAGGTTTTGTGATACATCTGTATGTGTCCCTTTCATACCCGTTTTTTAGGTTCATGTGTCTCTTATTTGTTACTCCCATATTAATTAATCCTAAATAATGGCCCACATATGTCTGAATCTATTTTGGCATACTGATCCAGGCTCGAGCGGATTAAAAAGAATACGTCGAAAGAAGCAGAAACACGTTTGGTCTTTTCAAGTAATGAATGAGCTTCTTAGTCGTGCTTCCTTGTACGAGTACGAAAACAATGGAAGTGAACCCCAAGGGGTTGATTTTGCCTCAGACACCGATCATGCAAAGGATGAAGCAGAAGCTCCCTCTTTTTTAGACCAAGAAAGCAAACTAATCAGACCTGGAAATGATAAACAAGAACAGGACAAAGCAGGTGAATTACGAAACTTAGATCTTGATAGTACAAGGGGCTCGGGTATATCCTTGACCTGGGCTTTCAAAAGGAATAAACAAGGGTTTTGCTCTCCAAAAAACCGAGTACTTATAATTTAACCATTTTGTCTCATCATGATGAGCAACATTTGTTGTTATGTGAAGGGGGGAAAGATTCCAAAAGGAAGAGAACTGAGACACCTATACTAATCGCTGCAAAGAACGGAGTGATAGAGATGGTCGAGAAGATTCTAGAATTGTTTCCTGTGGCCATTCACGACATGAACGAAGAGAAAAAGAATGTAGTGCTGTTGGCAGTAGAGCACAGGCAACCGCACGTATATCAGCTGTTGCTCCGAAGAAATATTCTTAAAGAGAGTGCATTTCGGAAGGTGGATCACAAGGGAAACAGTGCCGTACACTTAGCTGCCAAGTTTGGACAATACAAGCCTTGGCTTATTCCCGGCGCTGCCCTCCAAATGCAATGGGAAATCAAGTGGTTGGAGGTAATTCATTGGTCACTATAGCAATTTTTGAGCTATATATGTGCGTGTGTGTGTGACATGGATGTGATCTCACAGCTTTATATAAATGGATGCAGTTTGTGAAAGAGTCAATGCCTTCTCATTTATTTGCTAAACGCAACAACCGTAATAAAACCCCGAAAGACATCTTCACCGAAACTCACGCTCCACTAATGAAGAGCGGAGGGGAGTGGCTGAATAAAACCTCAGAGTCATGCTCTGTGGTGGCGGCGTTGATAGCGACGGTGGCCTTTGCCACATCGGCCACCTTGCCCGGTGGTGTTGACCAAAACACCGGCCAGCCAATACTGGAAAGGGAGCCAGCATTCAACGTGTTTGCCATCTCATCATTCATTGCCCTGTGCTGTTCCATCACCGCCGTAGTGATGTTCCTAGCCATACTTACTTCTCGTTATCAGGAGTATGATTTTAGGGTTGACCTGCCCATGAAGCTCATAGTGGGTTTGACGTCATTGTTCATGTCGATTGCTTCCATGTTGGTGTCATTCTGTGCCGGCCATTTCTTTGTGCTCAGAGATCAACTCCAACACGCCGCGCTTCCTATATATGCAGTGACTTGCTTGCCAGTGACCCTTTTTGCTTTAGCACAGTTCCCACTTTACTTCGATCTGGTGTGGGCCACCGTAAAAAGTGTGCCACAGCGTAGCTACAAGGCCATCCCCGTCAAATTCAGCGGAGAGGATTCTACCCAGGACGACGCAATGGGGAGAGAAAGAAAGAGAGTTCTGGCACGCCAGCTTCTTGATCTCCTGCAGACTTGATGTCGGCCCCATCGCTCAGTAGCCTCGAAATCTCATACACTCCCACACGCACAAACTGTTTGTTTATTTAGAATTTAAAAACTGTCTAATTTGTAATTTTGTTCGATGGTGTGAAGAACGAACAGTTCTACCTCATGACTAGATCTTACTACATATAAAGCATAAAAGTAACGCAAATAGCATTACTTTATTGTACCTGTTACTTAATTTGGAGATATTCAGGCCAAAAAAAAAAAATTGGAGATATGTTCTCACGGTGCTCGATGCGAAGAAAGCAGCTATGAAAATAGCGAAGAAAGGAGCTGCGACCAAATTAATTGCTAAAAAGGTTTGAATATGATGATTATGATCGGTAATTAAAAAAATGAACGTAAACAAGATTAATTAGAGTCATGATAATTAATCAGTTTAAAGAAGAGTACATTTGTCCCTTTTTTTAATACTTTTGCCACAGAGTAGAGTTTTTCATTTTCTGAAGAACCTTTTTCACAATAAGAAAACCACATCTGTAAGAAAAGCACTTTTAACTTCCTTTAATCAGAAATCAAGACAAACATATAATTATTCTTATAACAACGCAAAAGAAATAGAGCATGGTAAAATTGAAAAGAAAACCTGCAGGTAAAATGAGTTATAAGAATGAAATTTATATATGCACTTAATTTAAAAACAAGTTAGATTTATTAATACTAAAACCTAGTAATTATAAGGTAAATACTGAGTAAAAAAACAATTAATTTTGATTTGCTAGAAAAAACACTTGATTAAGAAAGAAGGCCAGTGCAATTTGCCCCCTCACCAAAATAGGAAAAGGTTCCTCCACTTACTTTCTCCTTTGCTTCTCATCTTAATCTTTAAAATTGTAATTTCAATGGTTTGGATTTTATACTTTATAAAATAGTTTTATTATTAGTTCAAATTATCATGGCTTAAAAGGGTTTAACCACCGAGAGCTTAGATTTTCTAGTAAGTGGGTAGTTCTCGCTTAACCAATTTTGAGTTGGTCATTCCCGCTTAACCAATCTTGAATTTAAAGACTTGAGAATATAGTAGCGCAAGTGATAGAACCACCACTCGAAAGGCCCGTGATAAGGGGCTGGCTTGGGATACTGGGTGCATATTAAAAAAAAAAAAAACAACAAAAAGGTTTGGTCCTTGAGGCGTAAACGAGAAGAATCGCATGTTTCGACACTTGCTTTGCGTAAAGATAATCCCCAGCGATAATTCCCAGCAACCTTTGGATATCTTGCATCTCTCTTTTCAATTTCTCTTTAAACCTCATCTTTTTCTCAGACAAAAAGTATTATTTTTTCGACTTTTCAAACATCATGTGAAATAAAATCACCATGATATAAATTTCAAATCTAGTTGATTTTATTACATTTCATTTATTCTATATCTTACTATATTTTAATTTTAATTCATTTTACTAAGGTTGAATGTCTGTTAATCCAACTAGGAGAGTAAAAATAATTTCTCATCCGGTGACCCATTATTTAGCTAGGACCGGATAAGTAGTAAAAATATAATTTAATAAGATTTTAAAAAAATTAATGTGTGCGTACATTTATAATAATATACGTGCTTATTTTATAATTTTCGAATATGTGTGTGTACATATTTCTTACCTAATGCTAGTTAAGTTTGGTTTGTTATGGTTCTCAGTTCTCATAGCATGGAATTTTTCTTTGGGAGAATTACAATCAAGTCCTAAGAAAGAAAAATAATTACAAAATAAGTATTAGAGATTATTAGTTTTTAATTTGAAACTCGTCATTATAGGTTGTTTAGATTGTTATTGGGATTTTTTAGTAATTATTTTTTCTCTAGAACTTAATTGTAATTCTCGCTTTTTCTTTCTCGCGCAATAGATGAGGGATGACGATATTAAGTTTATTACGTAGTTTAAAATTGTTAAGCATGGCATAATAAATTTTACAGCACGTACCAGTTCACAGAGGTATCTAAAATCAATTCTTTCCCAGTGAATGAGAGGCGTGAACACGAAGTATTACATGTTTTGGCATCGGGCTTGCGTGTGTGCGCACCCCTAATTCCTAGCGACATCTTCACCCATTATATATTCTTTCCTTTTGTTTTGCAACACGCTATATCCACGTAACACACGTGTACCTTTGCCTGCACAAGCTGAGACACCCGCATCCCTGAACAGCAGAAAGCTAGGAGGCAGAAACAGATCAATCTTCACTTTTTTTTTCTCATCTTATTTATTCGACCTTGTCTTATCCTTTTTCCTTCTTTTCCGTTAATTTCAGCAGCTTCCTCTTCATCTGAGATGGGAATAACTTGGTTACGCAGCAACCCTTTCTCCATAAAAACAGTGATCGTCTCTGTACATACTATTTAAACCACACCCACACATAGAGATCGATCAGGTCATCATAACAGAGCAGCTGCGCGGTGGAAGCCAGTAGAGATACGATTATGACGACGATGGTGTCTTCGGAGCTGGAAAGCATTAAGAAAGAGCTATCCACATATGCCATGAAAGGCAGGAGGGAAAAAGTGATGAAGATGTACCAGGACGAACCAAGGGCGCACAGAGCCAAAATAACAAGGTCAGGCGACACTGCGCTGCACTTAGCTGCGTCGGAAGCGAAGGACAAGGTGGGGGAAGAAATGGTGAGGTCAGTTAGGTCCCATTGGGATAAAGATCAACTTAAAAAGGTCCTGCAAACTGATAACATTAGGGGCAACACTGCTCTGCATTTAGCGGCTGCAATGGGAGACGTCAGAAAATGTGAGATAATTGCAAAGGTCAAGTCGTCGTTGGTGGATTGTCGTAACGGTGCCAGCGAGACACTCCTCTTCCTGGCCGCTCACTTTGGCGGAACCAAAGCTTCTCTTTGCCTTCACTATATCCGAAACCCTACCGACGGCGGCACTCCGCTCTACTATGCCAACTGCAGAAGGAACGACGGCGACACTATTCTTCACAGCGCGATCAATGGAGACTATTTTGGTAAAATAAATCAACAACTTCATCATCCATCTCCTGTCTTTCTATATGATCTTATGATGCAGAAAACAAACTGAAGTATTGGCTCGTGTGCGTGTGTATATATGCAGATTTAGCATTCCAGATAATACACTTGTATGAAGATCTAGTGACCTCGGTGAACGAGGATGGGTTGTCCCCGCTCCATCTCCTGGCAGCGAAACCTTCTGCCTTCAGAAGTGGCAGCCGCCATGGACGGGTTGAAAGTATCATCTATCACTGTAAGTATTTAATTTAATATTTTGTTCCTTTTGACACGAGTCATGTACACTGAGGAAACGTATATCTATAATGTGTTACCTCTTAATTTGAATTCTCGTCCTCTTCATTATGCTATAAACTTGCAATTTCAAATATCTATATGTGTGTCTTTGTTTGTCCGCAAGGTATAGACGTTGATCAGCTAAAGAAAGCAGAACCGCTGAACGTCTATACTGATGAAGTCAAAGAAGACCAACCAGCCCATTTTCCACCCAATTATTGTGTACTTTGGGACGCTTTCAACACCGTCATCACATTCAAATCCACAGTGACAGGACCTTCCGGTAGATTTGTGTTCCTTTCACTATGCATGCAAGTCAGCCTGTGTTTTCTTTCTTTTGCCTTGATTAGCTATTTTTCAACATGTCAGCATTGTGCAATTCGCCGTCTTCTACCACCGAGTAACTTTTTTAAAAAATAAATAAACATATTATTGTGATTTTAAAAAATTACTTTAATAACAAAGATATAAAAAAATTATATGCTATATTTCCTTTGTATAGTAAGAAGTTAAGCGTGGCTTGTTACCATTAGCTATGATGTGCTGATCTTATTATTATCATGCGGTTAAATGAATAAACGTTTGAAAGGTAAATCTATAGGTGGAGGAAAATGAAATGAATCTCAAGCAAATAGCAAGGATCTCGAAAATGCGAGAAATCATCATAGAGCCGCTGGTGCTGGAGGTCAGATTTTTTTTTTTTTTGGAAATTCTAGAGAAATGTAAGTTGATAAACAATCTGATCATATTATTTATTGTTTCATTAACCAGAATCGGAAGAGAGAGATCATGGAAGTGGATTGTTTCCTGCTAACTTCAGAACCTGCTTTAATTTTGTCAGATTCTTTTATCTGGCTCTACTGGTGATTCTTGGAGGAAGTACGCCATTTGTACATTAATTCCATCCCTGTCTTGGACATTTATATATCCATGTTTAATTTACGTAATATAATATACCCTACAGGATCGAGCATGTTAAACAAGATACGTCGAAAGAAGGAGAAGCACACTTGGTCTGTTCAAATAATGCATGCACTTCTTAATCGTGCCTCTGATTATGAGTATGAAGACAATGGCTCCAAGCCGGACCACTCCCCTATTTTACAGGACCTGTCATCCTTCGGGTTTAAACCATGAACTGCCAAAGACACGGGTAAATTACGAAATTTTAGATATTGATAGTATATTTTAGAAAGGAACAGACAAGGGCTTTGGTCTCCTAAAAAAGAAAAAAAAACCTACTACTTAGAATCCAACTATATTCTCTCTTGGTGATAAGCAACATTTGTTGTTATGTGAAGGCGGGAATGATTCAAAAAATAAGAGAACTGAGACACCTATACTTATCGCTACAAAGAACGGAGTGACAGAGATGGTTGAGAAGATTCTAGAGTTGTTTCCGTTGGCTATTCACGACATGAATGATGAGAAAAAGAATGTTGTGTTATCGGCAGTGGAGAACAGGCAGTCCCGAATTTTAGAAGCATTGAACACAAACAATCAGTGGAAACACCTCATTCAGTCAATTGATATTGATGGCAATAATGTATTGCACTTAGTTGCAAAGTACGAATTGCAGATTCTGGGCTATACTGCTATAGTGCCATGCAAATGCAAGATGAAATCGAGTGGTATGAGGTAAATGAGTAGATAGTATATTTATTTTCCACTCTCAGATACATCTAGTAGCCATACTTGTGAATATTTAAATTTAAATACTTTGCTGGTGGAATTTGATTTGCAGTATGTGAAATCGTTTTTGCCATCCCAGTTCACATTCCTTAAAAACAAAGAAGGAAAAACTCCGGAAGAAGTCTTCCTCAGAAATCATCCGGAACTTGTTGAAAAGAGTGATGAATGGCTTGGTCGTACGTCTGAATCTTGCTCAGTGGTGGCTGCGCTGGTTGCCGGAGTTGCCTTTGCGACATCAAGCAATATACCCGGTGGCAATGATGATAAGACTGGCAAGCCAACCTGGTGGGTTTGATACTTTCGCTATCACTGCACTTATTGCGCTCTGCTTCTCTGTCACTGCGTTGATCATTTTTCTTTCCATACTCACCTATCGCAAACAACCCGCTGATTTTATGAAAAGATTGCCGGTGAAGCTTTTTCTGGCCTTAAGCTCGCTTTTTCTGTCCATTTTCTCAATGTTCATCTCTTTCTGCGCCGCACATTCCTTTGTGCTTGAGGACAAGTTCAAGAAATCAGTGCTTCTTCTTTATATTATCATTTGTCTTCCTGTTTACTTCACAATTGTAGAATTTCCACTCTACATGGATCTTGTCAAAGCCATTTTTGTGGAAGTTCCGCGTCCATACAATCGAAAACGTATTTAGAGGGGGTAGTGGGTGCTGGTGCTCTTGCATAATTCCTATATCAGTCAAGGATTATGTTTTATTCATGGTTATATATATGTAGCCAGGGACTCTCTCCCTCTCTTTCATCTTCCATTCTGGTCCCCCAACCACCCCCCCCCCCCAAAAAAAAACATATATATTATTAGCTTGATGACATGTTTGAACCTCGCAAGATTTTCTGATCTTGAGTGATTGCTGATTTGAGCCTCCAATATTGACTTCCCATTGCACATGTTTGACGATATTGAACATGAATATGAGACATGGACTTCTTTAGACTCTTTTTATGATATCAGGACCAATCGCAAACGAAATTTCGTATAAATAAAGATTTTGGGGTTTTATAAAGTCTCGATAGGGTCTCCCTAATAAATTAGATCTTTGGAAAACCCTACAATAACACAACAGTGCAGGTATAGCATATGGAACCTAGCTTCACAACAGTGTATTCATCCCTATTTGGCATCACGATTGAAATCATTGATAAGTACGCTTCACATTACTTACCTCGAATTCTGTTAATTATGATTAAAAAGCTACTTATAAACCATTTCAAACAGAAACAAAATCACTTTCTTCCAAGTCAAGCAGATTAGTTATCAATGATGAGGATCAAATCAACTAAAAACTCAAAGCAAGTATGAAACAATTCAGATTTTAATTATTAATCTGTTGGCACGAATTTTTAATTATTAATCTAAATTTCGTTTGAGTAAAATTTACTTCTATTGGAGCTCTATTTTTGTTAATCAAGAGTTCTCTAGTGCTACTTATGTGATCCTTTTTTTTTGCAGGGCTGCATCATTTAGTGTGTGTTGTAGTAGGGGGAGAAAACAGAGAAAGGAAGCATATTTAATATCCATGGTGTATCTATTCATGTAAATAATCTTTCTTGAAAGAATTTGTGGTTTGTGGTTATTTTAAGGAAAGCTTGCAGTCTGGATGTAAGTTTGGGGGATTTTCATGTAAACAGTTACATTTGTTTCTTGTTGGTTTCTTAATATATTTGGAGGAGGATTCAAATATAGATGTGTTCATCATAAATAACAATGTTAGGAAATGCCGTACAATTTCAAATGTTGAGTAGCTGGTGATGGATGCCCTAATTTAAAATTAAGAAACTTGTATCAAAACTACTAAGCATGCAGAACACAAAACAAATATTTTATAATAATTTTTTGTGACTTTTTATGGAAGATGTGAAAACAATTATAAAAAGTGAAAAAGACCAACACAAACAATACGATGGCTATCACAATTTAGACATATACGAAGTTATGTAAAAATTACAGAGTCCTTAATACGCAAAACCCTCTACTAACGTGATAGGCCACTATTAGTTGATTAATAATTATATCTAAAAATTTAGCATTCAACCATCTTTCAAGTAATCAGTTACATTCCACTTAGTATGTGAATCAAGCAAACAATTATACCTTTTCCTTTTAAAGAGTAATCAATGACAACTCTAAGCATATGACAACTCGTGCAATTCAAGATGGGAAGCTCTAGAGAAGAACATATATAAACATATGAGGAAACTGAATACACACACACATTAAAGTTTAAACCATGAAAACATAATTGTTTGCATGAAACACAACATAGTTGTAAAAGAAAACTCAAAATCCCAAACTAATAAATCTCAAAAATATATACATGGAAAGTTCAAATCCAAATAAGTCTCTTTTTCTAGCTCCGGAATTCAAGCCCCATAATCTGTCCTAAAAAATCGTTGATTGGCCATTCAAAGAATTGTTTCATTTTTAACTCTGAACGTATATATAGATATTAAATTGCACCTAACAAAACTCCCTATAATTTTTCCTACATTCAGAATTTAAAAAAGCTGGATATCAATAAACTGACCTATTTTTTATTTTATAGTAGTTTCGAAGGTGTAAAAATCGATTTATGATAATTTTGCCTCTTTATTTATATCAAATCTTTTCCTGTTAACCGGGGGAAGTATTTTCACTCTATCTCATGGCTTCATGCGAGCTTAATTTGGGCTTAGAAGATCCTCAGCTAATTAATGCAAGGTCGGTTTGCTACGACCGTGATTTTTGGATTATATTAAATTTATTGCTTTCATTATCAGTACTGGTATCATCAAAATTTCTTTCTGGCCTGTCGACCAGGCTTGCTTATTACTGGATTTTTTATTTCAGTGGCATTTGCAATATCTCATGGCATACACCGCCTTTTGTGACGTTATTTAATTATAAATGGTTGTTCATGCTTCATACTATCTCAAGTGCAAAAGAATACAAATTGCCATTTTTTTGAGTTTCGTCCTCCAGGCTTTCAACGTTGATGCTAGTTTGGAGCTGACTTTCTGTATGTTTTAATTTCAGATCGGGCTTCAAGGGGTCCTCATTACTTCAACATTCGTGTTTTGAAGCCTTACTTAATTTGAATAAAATTGTCTTTTTATTAACAAAAATTATGCGGAACCTGGATGAATAATTTTTAATCATTACTGACTATTAAATACAAAACAAATTAGTATGCTGTAATTAATATATACTCACAACAATCAAATACTACTATATATGTATATATACAATATTAGTTGCCGTATTTTAAAATTATTCCTTCATAACTAACATTTATACAGTATACGCATGGCATACGCCAGATGGTAGATGTATACATGACAAGTTTTTGGCCCGTGCGGAGAAAACGAGACGGATCACATGTTTTGGCATTCGGCTTTGCGTAAAAATAAAAATCCGCACCCATAATTCCCAGCACCCCTTTCCTTCTATTGGATAAACACCTCTCTTTTCAATTTGTCTTTAATCTTTCGCCTTTTTCTTAAACATTAAAAATTAATTTGTTTCAACTTTTTCAATATCATTTGATATAAATTTACAATGATTCAGGTTCCATTTTAATTTGTTTTTACATTCCAGTCACTTTATATCTTATTATATTTTTATTTTAATTCATTTTATCAAAGTTGAATCATGAATGCTCTGATCTTAGTCCAACTAGAAGAGTAAACATAAGTGGTTAAAATATAATCTAAAAAGGATAATAAATGTTTTGCAATTGAAAAATAATTAGAAAGATATATATAATATACACACTTATTTTATAACTTTAGAATACGTGTGCGCGTTCATATGTCTTAGTTTTATATTAATTGGTTATTATTCGTTTCCCAATATTTAGTAGGTATAAGCTTAATGAGTTTGCTTTGTTATGGTTTTGAGTTCTCATAGCATGCAATTTTCCTTTCTTATACCAAGAGATGAGGGATGATGATAAATTTATTACCCCCCGGTTCCTTTTTATAAGCAATTTTGGACTCTGTTATATAGATCAAAAAGTTAGTTACAGATAATAAATAGGCGGAAATTGAAAATTCTTTCTCCAAAATACATTTATTTACGGGGGGAGAGAGTATAAGAAAGAGAATAAAAGAATTATTATAATAAAAAAATTATAAAAGAGAGAAAATATACGATGAAAAGAGATGATAGTTTGGAAAATAAGATAACAAATATATTAAGTATTAAAATAAATAATTAATGGAGGTAAAATAGAAAATTTGTTAAAAAATTTACAGCAACTTGCAAAAATTGATTATATTTAGAAATAAGAAAATAATGGTAGTTGTTGGTTATAAAAAAAGATGGAAAGAGTGCGTAATTTACAGCACGTACCAGTTTACCCAAACTATCATTTTTTCCCAGCGAGTGAGAGGCGTGAACAAGAAGAATCACATGTTTTGGCATCAGGCTTGCGTAAAGTTACACTGCAGCCGTAATTCCCGGCAACGTCTTCATCTACTGGATAAACATTCCTTTTCCCAAATCTGCTGTCTTCAACCTTTCACCTTTTTCTTTTCGGCTGGCAATTGGACCCACAAGTAATTAAGCCCCTATCCATATTATATTGGAGATTTGAAGGAATAACTTAATTAATGAATCAGCAAACGCAAGCAGTAGTCCAAGAAGTTTTCGTACGTGGATCCGCCCATATATATAGATACACGTAGAAGTCGATCATATTATTGCAGAAAGGAACTAGCTGTTGGAGTTTCAGTGTGTCACCGTGTCAAAAGAAGTGCCAACACTAGCTAGCTTGGGTGGTGAGAAAATGGCCACAGAGCTGGAAATCAGCAAGAAGCAGCTATTTTCATTCGCCATGAAAGGGAAATGGGAGGAGGTGATCAAACTGTACCAGGAGGATCCAGGGCTTCGCAAGACCAAAGTAACGAGGACTGGAAGCACTGCGCTGCACGTGGCAGTATCTGATGGGAGTGAGGAGGTGGTGGAACAGATGGTGGGGCTCGTTGGAAGTTTCTCTGGAGACTCAGGATGACAGAAAAAACACTGCTCTGAATCTAGCTGCTTTCATGGGCAATCCCAAAATGTGTCAGCTAATTGCGCAGGAACACCCCTCCTTAGTCGCCGTTCGGAACTTCAAGGGCGAAACACCTCTCCTCTCGGCGGCTCTTCATGGCAGAAAAGAAGCCTTTCTTTCTCTTCATTATCTCCCGCACCCTAATGGTTCTCCCCCCACTTATGATAACTGTAGAAGGAACGGCGGCTATACTATTCTTCATTGCGCAATTGCCGGCAGCTCCTAGTGGTAATGTTACTTTGATCACTTTCATTTACTGATATAACTTGGACTCCTCTGGTGGTGTAATTATTTATAGTAATAGCGTTATTCATATTATCTTAATGGCGATAGGAAATGATCATTTATCACTGTAAGTACTAACTGAGCCATACTTTTCATGGAAGGAAGGCTTTTGTTAGTTAATATCTACTCTGAGTATCCATTTTTTTGGCGGGTGTATGAGCGCGCCTTGTTTTACTGTTTCAAAGGTCTATTTATTGAGGAGCTTAAGGTAGGTCAGCGCCATCATCAGCAGTCAATGGCAGAGGAAGAAGAGCACGAAACAAATGCGATCGTCCAGAAAATTATTACAGGACTGCTTGCAGCGACTTTTTTGGAGTCGTGAAAACTTGGCTGACTGTTGGTACTTAATTTTTTTTTTTTTAATTCTCATTTTTCACACATAGTTTCATTGACATTATGACTACCTTTATCTTATACACGTAGTTGATTTTTTTTTTTTAAGTCAAAACTCAAAATCCATCAATAAGAAGAAACAACAAGTAAGGAAGTCTGAGAACGAAGAACAGCATTAAGCAAGAAAAACACCCTATCGTCTACCCCAAGGACAGCCATCAACTACAGACGATCCCGAAGTGCCAAGAAATAATAACATCAGTTGGAAGTCTTCTTTCGAGTCTGGACGGTGAAGTAAGACTGAGCACATTATCCTAGGTCGGAACAAGTTGATAGGCGGGTGAGAACTGAAATCTTTGGAATTTTGGTTATTTCTTTTTCTACTGTTTTATAGGAAATTGAATTTTCTGGGCACTAGATGACAAGATACCATGCACTTGTAATACCCTCACCAATTCACAATTTACATTACATTCGTCTAGGATCAGAATGTAGAGATCATGATAATACGCGTCAGCTATATCCCAAAAAATACAAATCCTGCTGTAAGTTTTTCAGATTTGTATATCTGCCAGTGACGGTGATTCTAGTCCAAGGTATGCTTATCTATTAACACTCGTGTGTTACTTTGCAAAGCAGATACGGCAGCAACGTATCCTAGGTTTTGTGATGCGTCTGTTTGTTTGTACCTATTATATCCTGTTTTGTCTAGCACGCCGTGTCTTTAATTGGTTATTCCCATATTAATTAATCCTAAATAATACTAACTCATATATATTTATATCTATTTTGACACAACGATCCAGGATCGTGCATGATAAGAAGAATAGGTCAGCAAAAGCAGAAAAACGTTTGGTCTTTTCAAGTAATTAACGAACTTCTTTTTCGTGCTTCCTTGTACGTGTACGAAGATGATGGGAGTGAACCCCAAGCCATCAATGATTTCGCCCTAGACACTGATCGCGCAAAGGGTGAAACCAGAGCTGCTTATTCATTAGATGAAAACAGCAAACTAATAGTACTTGAAAATGATAACCAACCAGGGGACAAAGGTAAATTATGAAAGTTTAGATCTTGATAGTACATTTTAAAAAGGAATAAACCAAGGGTTCCATTCTCTGAAAAGCCTAATACGTAGAATTTAACCATATTATCTCATCTTGATAAGTAAGATTTGTCGTTGTGTGAAGGCCTGAAAGATTCTAAAAAGAAGAGAACGGCCTCCGTTCTAATCGCTGCAAAGAAGGGAGTGATAGAGATGGTTGAGAAGATTGTAAAATTGTTTCCTGTGGCTATTGAAGAGAAAAAGAATGTAGTGCTGTTGGCGGTAGAGCACAGGCAACACCAGGTATATCAGCTGTTGGTCCAAAGGAATATTCTTAAAGAGAGGGCATTTCGGAAGGTGGATCACAAGGGAAACAGTGCACTACACTTGGCTGCCAAGTTTGGACAATACAAACCCTGGTCTCACAGCTTTATATAAACGGATGCAGTTTGGATGCACAGGCAACACAAGGAATATTCCCGGCGCTGACGTCCAAATGCAATGGGAGATCAAATGGTTGGAGGTAGTTCATTGGTCACCATAGTAATTGTTGAGCTATATATACGTGACATGGATCTGATCTCACAGCTTTATATAAATGGATGCAGTTTGTGAAAGAGTCAATGCCGTCTCATCTATTTGCTAAACGCAACAACCATAATGAAACCCCAGATCACATCTTCAAGGAAACTCACGCTCAATTAGTGAAAAGCGGAGGGGAGTGGCTGCATAAAACATCAGAGGCGTGCTCTGCGGTGGCGGTGGGGATAGCGACGGTGGCCTTTGCAAGATCGGCCACCTTGCTCGGTGGTGTTGACCAAAACACCGGCCGCCCAACACTGGAAGGGGAGCCAGCATTCAACGTGTTTGCCATCTCATCACTCATTGCATTGTTCTGTTCCGTCACCGCCGTAGTGATGTTCCTATCCATATTCACTTCTCGTTATCAGGAGTATGATTTTCGGGTTGACCTGCCCATGAAGCTTATAGTGGGTTTGACCTCATTGTTCATGTCGATTGCTTCCATGTTAGTGTCATTCTGTGCCGGCGATTTCTTTGTGCTCAGGGATCAACTCCGACACTTTGCGCTTCCTATATATGCAGCGGAGATTGGCCTGGCAGCGACCGTTTTTGCTTTTTCGAAGTTCCCACATTTCTCCGATCTGGCGGGGGCCGCCTTAAAAGTGTGCCACAGCGTAGCTACAAGCCCACAAGGCCATCCCCGTCAAATTCAGCGGAGAGGATTCTGCCCGGCATGAGGGACGACGAAATGGGGAGACAAAGAAAGAGAGTTCTGGCGCGCCCCTTGATCTCCTGCGGACTAAATTCAGAGCCGTCGAAAATGAAGAATGACTATGAGGCTTAATGTGGGCCCATCGCTCAGTCGTCTCGAATCTCATCCACCCCCACACGCACAAACTGTTTGATTGGAACTCAGTACTTGTTATTCTGATGAGTATTATAAGCTCATCAAATCTGAATCATTCATATCTGATTTGGATGGTTCATATTTTATTTTTTTTATTTATTTAAAATAATTATTTTAAACATGTATAGAATCTAAAATAGGAATAATCTCTTAACTATTATTCTTTCCAAAAATATTTTTTTCTATTTAAAAATAAATAATTAAAGATTTTAAATCTGGACTACTTAAATTAAATAGATGGTCTAGATCTAATAAACTTATAGTGCTCATCAAAGTAATGAGCACTGAAACTGATTCCCTGTTTGATTATTCAGAATTTAAAATGTGTCTAATCTGTAACTGTGGTTAAGAAACAAACAGTATTTACTTTCCTTTTTTTTTTTTTGGCTTCACAAACGGTATTACTTTGTTGTGCCAGTGTTGGTTAATTTGGAGATATGTTCTCTCACGCTACTCAATGCGAAGAAAGGAACTATGGCGAAATTGCATGACAGTACATATTCTTAAAATGGAAGGTAAACAAGATTAATTATAGTTATGATAATTAATCATTTCCAAGAAGAGTACAATTGTCCCTTTTGTTTTCAATACTTTTGCTATAAAGGGGATTTTTTTTTCTTTTGTGTGAAGAGCATTTTTCACGTACAATAAGAAAACTGCATCTGTTGGAAAAGTAATTAACTTCTTTGATCAGAAATTACGATAAACATATAATTATTCAACTGACAGTGAAAAATAAATAGGGCATGGTAATTCATTGAAAAGAAAATTGAGCAGGTAAAATGAATAAGAATGAAATTTATATAGGCACGTATTTGAAAATAAGTTAGATTATTGATACTAAAAATTAGTAATGACAAGGTAAAATATGTGCTTACATAATTCGTATGCATGCGGAAAGCAAAACAAGGTACCAGTTTCAGTGGATACTCATTATTATGATGAAATCTAAACTATTTAAAATCAGTTTTAATGATCTAGATTTAAAATTTTTAACTTGTAATTTTTAAATAAAAATTTATTTTTTAAAAAACATAAACTCAAGAAATTATATTTATTTGGATTGTGCATGTATTAAAAGATATTTTTTGAAAAATAAAATATTAACTATTAAACCTCAATCGTCCATATTAAATTTGAATGATTGAGATTTGATAAATATCATGATGCTTATTACTTCGATGAGCATTAAAACTAATTCTAGCAAAACAGTATACATGCGCAAGTCCTTACACACACTCATGTTATAATAGATATTTTATATATCTATATATAGAGGGAAATTATTACTAATTATATATGATATCTTATATCTATTATTATATTTATTTTATTTTTTAATATTAATTTTTTATTGATAAAAAGTGTTTACACTTAATGTTTAAATTTTATATATTTGCCTATGTTTTATTAAGTTGTTTGGAAAATCATTATATGAAATTATAAATGATTATAAAAATTCAATGATTATATGCATATAGAATTTTTTTAGTATCCAACATGTGTGCATAATGTTAATTTATTATTCCAGTTATATCGAACATAATCTTTTAGAGATTATATTGAATAATTATTGATTCATTTTTATAAAATTTGAAAATCAATCCTAATTTTTGAATATCAATATGCAATAATATATGAAAGTGTATAAAAATAAGAATTTTGTTGTATATTAAATTTAAACATCCTTCTTAGATATTATTTTTAATACACTTGATTGGCAAGATATTTTAGAAAAGACAATACATATTTATTATAAATAATTAACTTAACCTATTTTCTTAATCTTCTCAAATTAGTCAACTAACTCTTACAATTAGAATCAGAAGTCGTATGTGTGTTCATTTTTTTGTTGCATAAAAAGGAATTGATGTTTGCTTACATCCCACTCCATGAGTCTTGCCATTTGTGGTATATATTTATAGGCGTAAGCTTTCACTTTTTCAAACATATCAAATAAAAAGTTTAAATGGACTTGACCCCAAATCGTATGTATATATCGGAAACGGCTTCTCTCTCTGCCCAAATATAGAAACACCACTTGCTTGCGCCTTTAATTATCGTTTCTGTTCGACCGCCTTTGTCCATCTGCAACTGTCGGCAGTTGGCTTTTGGCTCTGCTCCCTCCTCCTTTCACTTCATATGTATACCAATTATATATTCTTTCCTTTTGTTTTGCAATACGCTATATCCACGTAACACACATGTCTCCCTTTGCCTGCACAAGCTGAGACACCCGCGTCCCTGAACAGCAGAAAGCTAGGAGGCAGAAACAGATCAATCTTCACTTTTGTTTTCTCATCTTATTTATTCGACCCTGTCTTACCCTTTTTCCTTCTTTTCCGTTAATTTCAGCAGCTTCCTCTTCATCTGAGATGGGAATAACTTGGTTACGCAGCAAACCTTTCTCCATAAAAACAGTGATCGTCTCTCGTACATACTATTTAAACCACACCCACACATCGAGATCAGGTCATTATAACAGAGCAGCTGCGCGGTGGAAGCCAGTAGAGACACGATGATGACGACGATGGTGTCTTCGGAGCTGGAAAGCATTAAGAAAGAGCTATTCACATTTGCCATGAAAGGCAGATGGGAACAAGTGATGAAGATGTACCAGGATGAACCAAGGGCGCACAGAGCCAAAATAACAAGGTCAGGCGACACTGCGCTGCACTTAGCTGTGTCGGAAGCGAAGGACAAGGTGGTGGAAGAAATGGTGAGGTCAGTTAGGTCCCATTGGGATGAACATCAACTTAAAAAGGTCCTGCAAACTGAAAACATTAGGGGCAACACTGCTCTGCATTTAGCGGCTACAATGGGGGACGTCAGAAAATGTGAGATAATTGCAAAGGTAGAGCCGTCGTTGGTGGATTGTCGTAACGGTGACGGCGAGACACCCCTCTTCCTGGCGGCTTACTTTGGCAAAACAAAAGCTTTTCTCTGCCTTCATTATATCCGAAACACTAATCTTACCGACGGCAACACTCCGCCCTACTATCCCAACTGCAGAAGGAATGACGGCGACACTATTCTTCACTGCGCAATCAATGGAGACTATTTCGGTAAAATAAATCAACAACTTCACCATCCATCTCCTGTCTTTCTATGATCATATGAGGCAGAAGGCAAGCTGAATTATTGGCATGTATATATATGTAGATTTAGCATTCCAAATAATACACTTGTATGAAGATCTAGTGACCTCGGTGAACGAGGATGGGTTGTCCCCGCTCCATCTGCTAGCAGCGAAACCTTCTGCCTTCAGAAGTGGAAGCCGCCTTGGACGAGTTGGAAGTATCATCTATCACTGTAAGTATTTAATTTAATATTTTTGTTCTTTTTGTCACGAGTCATGTACACTGAGGAAACGTATACCTATAATGTGTTACCTCTTAATTTGAATTCTCGTCCTCTTCATTATGCTATAAACTTGCAATTTCCAATATCTATATGTGTGTCTTTGTTTGTCCGCAAAGGTATATACGTTGATCAGCTTAAGAAAGCAGAACCGCTGAAATTCTATACTGACGAAGTCAAGGAAGATCAAGCGATTCACCAACCAGCCCATTTTCCACCCAATTATCGTGTCCTCTGGGACATTTTCAACACCGTCAAATCCACGATGACAGGACCTTCAGGTAGATTTATGTTCCTTTAACTATGCATGCAAGTTAGCCTACGTTTTCTTTCTTTTGCCTTGATTAGTTATTTTTCAACATCTCAGCAGTGTGCAATTCGCCGTCTTCTACCACCGACTAAATTTTTAAAAAATAAATAAACATATTGTTGTAATTTTAAAAAATTATACTCGTATGTTTTATTACTTTAATAACGAAGATATCAAAAAATTAAATGCTATATTTCCTTTGTATTGTTAAGAAGTTAAGCGTGGGTTGTTACCATTAGCTATGATGTCCTGATCTTATTATTATCATGAGATTAAATGAATAAACATTTGAAAGGTAAATCTATAGCTGGAGGAAAAGAAAATGAATCTCAAGCAAATAGCAAGGATCTCGAAAATGCGAGAAATCATCATAGAGCCGCTGGTGCTGGAGGTCAGATTTTTTTTTTGTTGGAAATTTTAGAGAAATGTAAGTTGATAAACAATCTGATCATATTATTGATTGTTTCATTAACCAGAATCGGAAGAGAGAGATCGTGGAAGTGGATTATTTCCTGCTAACTACAGAACCTGCTTTAATTTCGTCAGATTCTTTTATCTGGCTCTACTGGTGATTCTTGGAGAAGGTACGCCATTTGTACAATAATTCCAACCCTGTCTTGGACATTTATATATCTATGTTTAATTTACGTAATATAATATGCCCTACAGGATCGAGCAGGTTAAACAAGATACGTCGAAAGAAGGAGAAGCACACTTGGTCTGTTCAAATAATGCATGCACTTCTTAATCGCGCCTCTGGTTATGAGTACGAAGACAATGGCTCCAAACCGGCCGACTCCCCTATTATTTCAGAGGACCTGCCATCCTTTGGGTTTAAACTATCAATCGCCAAAGACAGCAGTAACTATAACACACAGCCTGCATCATGAATTTATAAATTTAAGTATCAAATATGTATATACTCATATTATTAACATTAATTAATGTGCAGGTGTGGAAGAATGTAAAAAAAAGAAAAAGGAGTCGCCCATACTCATTGCGGCAAAGAATGGCGTGATCGAAATAGTAAAGGAGATTCTGAGACTATTTCCGGTGGCTATCTACGACGAGAATGAAGAGAAGAAGAACATAGTGTTGTTAGCAGTAGAGAAGAGGCAACCCCATGTGTATAAGTTGCTGCTGGAAAAGAACTTCTTCAAAGAAAGTCTATTTCGGCAGGTGGATCATGAAGGAAATAGTGCACTGCACTTGGCTGCCAAAAGTGGATCGCATGAGCCATGGCGCATTTCTGGTGCCGCCCTCCAAATGCAGTGGGAAATCAAGTGGTATGAGGTATGTATGATTGTGATGAACTGAACTGATAGCTGTATACATAGTAAGGTACCTCGTTTCTTAGTTAATTTTTGGTGATGCAGTTTGTGAAGAATTCAATGCCACCTCATTTTTTTGCCCATTACAACAAGAGTTACAAAACCCCGAAACAGATATTCACTGAAACGCACAGTGAATTGGTGCAAAAGGGGGGAGAGTGGTTGACGAAAACCTCCGAATCATGCTCGGTGGTGGCGACATTGGTGGCCACGGTGGCGTTTACGTCGTCAACCGCCGTGCCTGGTGGTTTGGAAGAGGCCACCGGTCGCCCGCTTTTGAGAGCAGAGAGAGCATTCGACTTGTTTACCATCTCTTCGCTGGTGGCGCTCTGCTTTTCCATTATTGCCACCATCATGTTCCTATCGATACTCACTTCTCGCTATCAGGAATTTGATTTCAACAGGGACCTGCCGAAGAAGCTTATTCTGGGTATGTCCTCGTTGTTCATGTCCATTGCATCCATGTTGATGTCATTCTGTGCCGGCCATTTCTTCGTGCTCAAGGATCAGTTCCAAGATGCTGCGCTTCCTATATATCTTTTGACTTCATTCCCGGTGACACTTTTTGCTCTGGCCCAATTCCCTCTTTACTTTGATCTTTTGAAGACTACGTTGAAGAAGGTTCCACAGCGAAGCTACAAAGCTACCCCAGTAATGGAGCTACAAGACTCAGAGGCGAAGAAGAATAATAAAAATGGGGAAGAAGGTCAAAAAGAAAGAGATCATGGAAAAGGATCGCCGAAATCCAATGAAAAGACTTCAACTGGAGATCGAAACCAAAGAAATCATGGAGAAGTGGGATACAGTATCGTGGAATTTAGTGATGCAGAGTGATAAATCCTGATTTTGCATTAATTTTTCACATCTTATTTGGATTATTATTAATTAGATTGGGCTTAATTATATTTATTATGATTAATTTGGATTAATTGTGATTGGATGAAAAGATTGCTAAAAAGGGCAAAAATATCATAATTTTCTGATTTATTTTAACTAATTGATTTTTTTAAAAAAAAAAATGATGTCACAGTATCTTAGATTTTATTGTAGAAAATTTGGGAGAAATTGAAGAAAAAAAAGCTGAAAGAGAACGAACAGCGGCGGGAGAATTAGGGTCTTCCATCATCTTCTTTTATATATATCTGTATCTATATATATATATATATATATATGAGAAAATCCACACAGAGGCGGCACTACCACATCACGTCGTCATCGTCATCGTCATCTTACGAAACCATCACACCCACACACCAAAAAAATCCATCCACACAGATGCGACCTTATTCCTTTCCACCTTCATCACCGTCTTGAACCATCATCACCATTCATCCCCCTTCTCAAAATGTGCGTGCCGCTGTGATAATGCTCAGAAGGTTTGAGGAGCTCGGTGGAGCAAACCAGACTACCATGAGCAGCTGAATCTGATTTCCCCAAGGAGCAGAGAGCCATGCCAGAGCTTGGAGCAATTAATTAGGGAGTTTTAATAATATTCTTATCTCTAATTTCAGTTTTGCATTTTGGTTTATCTTAGTTAGATAATTGGATTGGGATTCTGGATTTGTTACATTACAGTTGTAGTGTAGTTTGGGATTTGAATATTGAGTTTGACAGCTGTGCACTTGATTTGCATTGTTTAATTCTTAGCTTGATTGCTTGATATTGTATTGAGTTAATTTAATATTAATCTTTTGAGTTAAGTTTCTGGTTCAATCTTGCATTGTTAAGATTGTTGAATTTTAATTGTGCAAAGTTATTAATCTTTTCCAATGGAACTTCATGAGGGTTGTTAATGGTGATAAGAACTCTTTTAGTTAAAGGGCTTTAGTTACAGGTTAATTAATCTAAGTTTAAATGGTTGTTTGAACTAACTGATTTATTGAAAATTAAAACTCTCTAAATCTTTTGAAGCAAGGAAGGCATGGTTTAAAGCTCTGAAGGGAAATTCATTTCAATTATTATATCTTTAATCAAGTATCTTTCAATTTTTAATTTTAATTTACCTTTTCACTCTTTTTATAAAAGAAAATCTAAAAAGAAATACTTAGAATTATTTTCAATTTATTTTGCAAAGTAGTTTTTAAATTTAAAAAAAAACAACAAAAATTCCCTTTTTAATAGCAATTTTGATTTTTTAGTAAACTTAGGACCTAATCAATTTCTTCTCTAATAAGAGAATGATTTTGGTTTACATCACTTGTTACATTCTAAATTTAATTTAATTTCACCCCAAAACGAGATTGAGGATCACAAAGATAAAGTGATAAAGTCACTATCTTGGCTCTTTTTCTTTCTTCATTTCGGTTAAATAATTTATGTAGAGGTTTAAGTGGTCGACTGAAAATTTCAGCAAGGAAGAAAGAGCTTCCATATAAAGAAAAGCCTTAACTTTTACTTTCAACTCACACTCTGACCCTCTATCATCATCCCACGCCACTCCACACACCTCATGCAATCAGACTTGTTCTTGGCCTGTATTCTCACGTCACATCTTTACTCTCTTTTTTCTTCTCTTTTACTGATGCTAAAGACACAGGCCCCCTTCCCCTATTCATATTAGAATTAAACTGGATTTAGCATTCTAAGAGCATTTTATCGGCACCGTTAGTATATTAAAATAATTTGTAGTGCAATTTTTATCTATAATATTTCTGAAAAATAATTTTAACTTTGTTATTAATTATCAACAAGTTTATTAAATAAAACCCATAAATTTAGAAACAAAGTGCAACTAACCCCCTTAAAATAAGGTTTTAATGAAACCTAGCGTTCTTAAATATTTAAAGGTAAAACTACAAGAAGAAATTATGAAGAAAAACTTTAAAGGTGGTGGATGGTCATTAACCTTTCATATTAGGATCACGCCGCCCTTCATAGTTAATTATTAGTCGGTTTCCCCTCAGTCACAGTCTCCTGGAACATTCTAACATTAATTAATGTTCACAGCCTTTGATGTTTGGAATACTCTGGACTATATTTATTACTACAATCTTGTGTAGTAGGAATGATCATTTCCTTTCTTGGCACGAAAAATTCACATTTAACTAAGTGAGAGTGACCATTGAAGATTATATGAAAAATTGATGTCAATTTACGAATTTTAAGTTGTAAAAATACTGCTTCCGGTCTTAATTATAAGAATTAGTTGACTAATTTGAGATTAAGAAAAGAAGTTGAGTTAGTTATTTGTTATAAATAGGCATTTTTTTTCCTAAAATATCCTTACTAATCAAGTGTATTAGCTAGAACTGTCATTGTTAGAAGGACTATCTTGGAAAAAAATGCATAAATATTAGAGACAAAATGGACTGGGGTCTTATATTTAAGATCAAAATAAAAATCAAACGAGGTCCTATATTAAGGACTGGAGGTAGTATTATAGAGTTAAAATAATAGTCCTTATCACTTCAATGAGTACCAATACTATTTCGAATTTACAAGTTGAAAAATAATACATAGATTATCCTCAATTTATTACGTTAATTTTGTTAGAGAATCTTTAATGGCCATTCTCTCTTTAATTAATTAATTCCTTCAACAGTCACTACAAAAAATCCGACCTTCAGCGGCGACATTTTGTCGAAATGTCGCCGCCAGGTCATCGCCGTAGCAGCCGTGGCTGAAACTTATCAGCGGCGACAAAAATAGTCGCCGCTGAAAGTCAAAAGTCGCCATTGAAAGGTGAGAGTTTACCGCCGGGAGAGAGTCGCCACCGAAACATAAGAATCAACGGCGACATTTGTCGCCGCTGAATCCCTTTTCAGCGGCGACACTTTTGTCGCCCCTGATTATATTTTCAGTGGCAACCTAATGTTGCCGCTGATTACCCTTTTTTTGTGATTTTAATTATTTTTATAATATATTAATTATGCAAAAAATTTTATTTATATTCCTGATAAATATTATCAAAAGGTTTAATAAAAATAAAGTAATTAACACACAAATATAATATATTAAATGATAAGATTTATATAACCATCAAAGTGTTTTTGTGTCTTTAACTAAAAAAAATTGTTCAATTAAAGGATACATTACATAATGCAAAAGAAAAATTATGTAGAAGGAGGGACGCTAGAAGTAGGGGTATCTGCAGGAGCATTTAACTGCATCTTTTGCATGAAAGCAGTGAACTGAGCTTGTATTCTCTATTCCATCAGTTGCTCCATCCTTTATTCAAGTTGTGTACGCTCTGCTTCCATCTTTGCTCGCTCTGCTGCACGTTCTGCTTCCATCCTCTCTCGCTTTGCTGCACATTCGGCCATGAATTAATATCATTGCAGCAAGCAGATTATTACAAATAATAATCAAAACAGGGGAAAGCGGTTCTAGCTTTTGATGTCATGTGAATAAAAGACAATCTAAAAGTTTGATTAAAGGAAGCAAGATCAGGGCCCATTTTGGACTTTGATTGTAATAAAATCTATTAACTGCAGTAGTGTTCAAAAATTATTATTGGGATCTGGTCACATTAAAAGACATATACAATTACAGCCAGGTTTTTTTTTTTCCAAAATCAAAGCCAGATCTGGTTACTGAATTTAGAATCAAAGCCACGACTTAAATAGAAACAAGAGAATCTTCTCACAGCAAAAGCATGGGTTAGGTAATGAGTTTAATTAAAAGAGTGAGTTACTTAATCTGTATTTTGGTAGGTTTTAAATTGTTTTGGAATGCTGAAGAGATCTAACCTGATAGGACGACAAAAGGGGACGCAACTGATCCAATGGAAAGTGAAGAATTACAACTTCCCAAAATGTTGCTAATAGATACAATCACAAAAGCTTTACACACAAGGCAAAGCAGGGATCTGTATGCGTTTGATAGCCTAGAGACTTGCAATCAGTGCCATATTCATCATGACCAACATCTACAAATTGGCAATTATATCCAACAGAGACGTGTGAGTACCTACAGTTATAATAGCAAGCCTCGTGAATATGATAGAATAATTGATGATCATATCAAAACCAAGTATGCTATATGCTCCAAAAATCTTCATGTAGGAAACTAATGGCACCATACCTTTAAATGGACCCGTTGCAAAGAACAAAACCAATATATAGCCTAATCACATGGATAGATAGCAGCAAGCCTCCAATAACATCTACAATATAAAATTATATGAACATCACATCATTAAGAAAGTTTTGACCTAATAGAGAGATGAATTAGAACCACATACCTTTTTACAATTGGTGCTAATTGGGAAATGAAAGAAATCATATGGTTATTTATACCTCAGTTGTAACTTGACATTAGCTAATAAAAACTTAAATCATGGTATTATAGGAAAATAACATAACACCTTCACAAGAGGCCTCTTAGTAATCACATCACCGCCATCCATCTCTTTTCTATGTAATAAATATTCAAACACTTAAAACAAGAACAATAGAATAATCCGTTATTATTAGGGACATTACTTTTATGCAAATTTACAAGATCTACAACTAGACATGACCAATCTAGACTTTCAAATCGAAACTGAATCATCTATTGTTAAGCCTAAGAGAACAATATACATACATATATTCAAGAATTGAATTTTTTATTCCACCATTTCAGGACCGAATAGTCATCGAAGGATGAATCTTTAATATCTAAAATTATATCCCTCGTACAATTTGCAATGTAATTAAAAACCTAAATTACGTATATAAAGAGAAAAATATACCATAACATGTCACAGCCTCCAAGGTTGCTCCTCGACGCTCAACTTGATGGGCTTCAAGTCAATGAAAGAAATTTAATAACAAGAAACAATGAACGTAAAGTGCACATCATCATCATCATCATCATCATAATCAATGAGTTAGTTAAAAAAAATTGAATAGCTTACAGATATGGAGTCTAATCAAATACATGCTTTGCTTCACTTCTCAGAAAATCAAAATGTTTTGTTTTGTTTGTTTGATTGTTAAATAGAATTGACTATATAAGAATATGTGTGTGTGTAAATAAATGGATGGGAAAACAATTGAAATAAAACAAAGGGCATTCTCATATATGTGTGTGCGTGTGTGCCTCCCCATTAACGTCATTTGAAGAACGAACAAAAAAGGTGTTATTGTTTAGGTAGGACAGATGGATTTAGTGCCCCCCCCCAAAAAAAAAAACACGCACATATAAATGAAATTGTTGTGATTTCATACTCTAAAATGTAAATGGTTTTTGCTCTAATATAATAATCTATTCGAATCAGATTTTTGAAACAGATTTTTATATGAATAATAATCCCCTGTAATCCATCCGAACACCAACAACAATTATACATATATATATTCATTATACCAACTCTATTTTTGAATCAGATATTCATTTCCTTAGACAATGCCATTTGGAAAACTGTTACTTGTTAAATTTATTGGTGCCAAAAGCAAAAATATTGCAGTGACTTGCCACACTCCAGCAAATTCAACCGAAACATAAAAGGACAAATTTCAACAAGAGCCACATAGATTTCAGTAAGTACTTGAACTTTAGCCACAATTCAGCGCAAGATTTCAACAATATAAGATACACAAGAACAAAATTTTTTAATAAAACAGCACAAGAATCTAACTTTCCTCAACTGATGAACTATTTTTTAAGTTACAGCAAGAATCCAAAATGATTAGCATAAGTAAAAAACTTACTTGGACCGAAGCAACTGCTGTCAAAAGGGAAGAGATCATAAACAAAGACAGAACGAAGAAGGAGGCGAGACCCATCAAAGACCCATATGAACCAGCTCGAAAATGGAACAAGATGAAGGAAAGAGGAAGAAGAGATGAGGCAAGAGGTTTCTGATCAGACCCAACAGAGAACCGCGACCTAGCTTGAAGATGAAACAAGTAGAAGGCGAGACTTAGCGAAGAACATTTCGGTTAGACCCACGAATCAGCTCCAAGATAGAGAGGAAAACGAGACAGAGGGAAGGAGATCTGGTGACACCCAGTGGAGACCACCCATAAACGGAGAAGAAGAGGAATAGATAGCGGAGCGCGATTGAGAGAAAAGGGCAAGAGGGAGGGTGCACCATATGGAGGGAAGCCAAGTTTTTTAATAATTAAATTGGACCAGGCACCAAAAATTTAAAAGCCTAGCTTGGGCTCGACGCCATCACCAGGCAACTCCACTTTGCACCAGACGCCGTTGATAGACAGACAATTGAAATTTAAAAATAAAAATCAAGTTTTTAATTGTATATGCTATAAAAGCAAATTTCTCATAAAAATTTTCAATTTGTAAAAAGAAAAAACAAAAATACTAATTAAAACTAAATCATTTGAGTTAAAAAAATTAAAGTTTTTGTCACATGAATTAAATAAAAATATAAGCAAAATAAAAATGTGTCTATTTCATATTGTTATTTTATGAGATGAAAAATAATTTAAATTTATTTTGAATATTTATGGCTTCTGTTCAAAATTGAACAAAAGCCATAAGCACACTTATGGCATCAGGTCTTGGGAGACTAGAAGCGAAAAGTATTTGGATAACATAGTACTACTGTTCCTTACATAACTGACACCAAAAGTAGTAGTTATATTAGTATTTTGCACTAGTGTTAGTTGACTTCTAAAGTTCACTCCTCACGCCACACACAAGCAAAATTATTTGTACATCTCATAGTCATCTATTCGAACAGCAACAATAGTTATATATATGTATATTCACTGCAACAACTCCGTTTAATAAAATGAAAGAAGATGTAGATATAAATGTAAAATATACCTTTCTGCTGCAAATCATGTCGTTATTTCATTGACGCTACCCTTAAAATTAGTCCTTCTTGCAGCTTCAAGCAGAGCTGAAACCCTAACAACTTGATTATTGGTAGGTGCTCACATTCATCACATTATATCAACATGATCGACCTAACAATTTTTAAGAACATGAAATAATCATCTCAAATAAATTTCCTTTAAATTTAGCTTAGAAATCAGTTCCTAATGAAATATTATCCTCGATCCTCATGCATGTCTCCATCTCATTTCTCTCCCATGCACAATGTTTTTCTATTCCATCTCTCAAATATTTGGATATAGTATATGCCTTTGATACAAACTCCAAACTTTCTTCCTCTCCCTTTCTCTCTCAAACACCACATTATCTTCCTTTTAGTCTCTCTCTAACACAAAAATACATAAAACAACATTAATTATCAAAGTTACTTAATTACACAAATAAAAGATTACAATATAAAATTTTTACAAAAAATTTTAAAAAAATGTGCAAAAACTTTCAGCGGCGACACTGAAAGTCGCTTCAGTGGCGATATAAATTGTCGCCACTGGAAGAAGATTCAGCGACGACTTTTGGTCGCCGCTGAAAAGACATTCAGCGGCGACTCTAATGTCGCCACTGAAAGTTGCAGTTACAGCGACGACAATAAAAAGTCGCCGCCGTAACTATCACTTTTGGCGGTGACATTTTTGTCGCCACAAAAGGACCTGACTTTCAGCGGCGACACTTCTTGTCGCCGCTGAAAGTCATATTTTCAGCGGCGACTTATTTTGTCGCCGCTGAAAGTCGTCACTGAAAGTTTAATTTTTTGTAGTGAGTTCAATCCCATCCCTTCTTTTGGCTCTTGTAAGTCACAATCTTTTCTGTTGTTCCCTTTCTTTCTTTCTTTTTTGTAATTTTCCCCGCTCTTTAAAACTCAGACGTACGTACAATTCGATCATAATAAGGAGGCTTCAGAGAGGCAAAGTAGTGGACTTCGGTTGATTCTTTTTCCTTCTTTTTTCAATTCGTTTTAACTGTTCACTGCTTGATTTTACATCCATGTCCCGCGCTATTCTCTGCTCCGTGTTACTGGCTTTTTTGAGCTACAATTTTTCCTGCATTTACCTTTCTGATTCAGCTGCATCCATCGTTAACTTGTTATTGTTTCTATGAGCCGTGCAAAATCACGTGGTATATGCGCATTGGTTTTTGCTTGCCAATTCAATTTTGTAATTTTCACGACTGCTAAAACTATGAAGGCAAGATATATATAGTCAAGTACTTCAATCCATATAATTTACAAAGAGAAAAGAATTAAAAGAGAGTCACACGACGCGACATTTAAATTGTGTCATCTGTACCGACACTTAAATCCTTTGGAATGAAATTTTCTAACAAGTCGGAATGAGGAATTGGTTTGTTTGTGCAATTTAAGAGATCTGGAAAACATACTATAGGGTGAGATCTGAAACGATCATTGGTTCCACACGTCACAAGAGGGTGTAAACACCCGTTTTTTTTTTTTAAGACGTGAGATTTGTAATATTAATAATGTTGTAGGCTTGGCGTCGTTCTCTCGCCTATTACAATCTGTGGCATATACATGTGCCATCTCTTTCTGTTTTTCTCTCCAGCTTTGTTCATAAGATGCGAGTATTTTGTCCATAATGGGCGCCCCTTGTGTGTCCGGTAAAATCCTTTCAGCTTTAATTATTCTTGTCTTGTGACTCGAACGGGAAATGCGTCTATCTTACTATATATATACACACACACATATATGTATGTATATATTTCCTTACAGCTTCAACTGTAAGAGAACTTTTTATCTTTGAAAACCTTTATTCAAACTGATGACGCTGTGCCAATCTCTATCTTTTTAATTTCCGGAATTAATCAAGTAAATTAACCTAACATTGTCTTCCCTTGTGCTGTAAAAGATTTTAATTTAATTTGAGGAGGGTAAAAAGCGGCAGGGTTTGGTATAAATTAGCATGGATCGGCGTGGACGATGAAGTGGTGAAAACATTACTACTGTGATCTTGTTCATCATTCATAATATATAGTTCCTAAACAAATGGAGTCTGCCTTGTCATCATGGCGACACATGAGGGAGGAGAGGGATGATTCTGAACTAGATATGGGTAAACTATACATGCACGCGTTCCAAGGGAAGTGGGAAAAGGTGGTGAAATTATACGAAACAAGACCAGAGGTGTGGAATGCAGAGATCACGAGCTCAGAAGACACGGCACTGCACATGGCCATCAACGAAGACAAGGAAGATGTTGTGGTTAGGCTGGTGGAGATCCTCGCCGAAGCTCACGGCGGCGACCGGTGGTATGAGAGAGATGCTGAGGAGGCTCTGAGGAAGGCGAATGAGGTAGCGGACACCCCTCTGCATCGCGCAGCTGCGAGATGGTCCGTGACAAGGTGCAAGTGCGTCGTAGAGGCAGGTAATAAGATGGACGCGGATTTGCTCAGAATCACTAACGAATGGGGCGAGACCCCTATCTTCGTCGCCGCTCTCGACAACCGCAAGCATGCCTTCATCTTCCTCTTCCGGAAAGCTCAGCTACCAAAGGATGAGCTGCTCAGATCTCCCCTCAACGGAGAAACTGTACTTTACTCCGCCACTCGGAGAGAGCATTATGGTAATAAGCGTCCCACATACACCAGAAACAGCAATTTTAATTTCTCTCTGATCGATCATGTGTGTGTGTCTTTCTCTCTCTACTCATCACCGTCATCTTAATTATATCATTAACGTGCAGACTTGGCATTTCACATAATGCGACTGTGCCCATATCTCGTGGCCAGATACAACGAAGAGAGAATAACTCCTCTTCACATCCTAGCCAGCAAATCTTCCGCTTTTAGAAGCGGCAACGATCTCCCGTGGTGGCGGGCAATCATAGACTACGGTAAGTATGCACACACACCCACGTGTGTGTAGATAGGTTTTAATTTGTTTATTATCAAACATGAATGTTGGTGAAAGTAGGAACTGCTCATCATCTTGACGACCACTCTAAACTTATCAGATCTGGACTATCTATATCTAATTTGAAAGGTTCGGCTTTAAAATCTTTAATTAATTATTTTTAAATAAAAAAATTATTTTTTGAAAGAATGATAGTTAAAAAATATCTCTATTTTAGATTATATATATTAAAATACTTGTTTTGAATAAATAAAAATAAAAAAGAAATCAAATCTGTAGCATCTAAATGAGATATAGACGTTATAGATTTGATAACTCAGTGATGAGCACCGAAACTGGTTCCATAAAAGTAACGGATTACTATATTATATTATGTTTGTGAATCAATTGCTCTTTTTCTGCGCAAGCTATAAGGGTAGATCCACTGGAGTTTGACGATTCTCTTCCAACAAATCCAATCAGAAGCTCGGAAGAAGAATTTAAGGTCCCCTATGATATGAAGTACTGAAAATTAGGGATAGAGATTGGGATTGGGATTGAGAAAATCTATTAAAAAAGTGTTTAGCATAAAATATTACTTGTTATATAGAATTAGCCAAACCTGTGTATGTGGGATTGGGGAGTACTATGGGGAGAAACGGTATATATTCTCCAATCCTATCTCTATGGGTTTGGCTAATCCTATGTAACAAGCAATTAGTCATGCCAAATATTATTTTAATGATTTTTGTAATTGCAATCTCAATCCATATCCCTCATTTTCAATACTTCGTACCTAATGGGACCTAAGTGTCCAGAAAACTACCTGACATGTCATATGTCCTTTTCAACTTGGCGTTCTGGTAATTAATTAATTCGAGCTCAATCTTGAGTCCTGACTGAATCTCCTATATGTGCTGTGCCTTATATCACTACTTGAATTGATGCTGCTAATTTATTTTGTTAAAAATCACGTTTTTCTATCTTTACAAAAATACTTAAACAAAAGTCACTTATAATAAACTTAGCCGATGCATAATCAAAATCAAGTTTGCACTTTGCAAAATAAGTCGATTCAAGCTCATCTTTTAAACACACGTTAAATTTATTATTGATTTAGCATAATAATGTGTATACTTTATTTATTGGCGTATCCTCCGTTGGATTGTCTTTAATTTATTTTGTTGAATGGAAGAGAATAATATGTAAACTCATGTCGGTGGAATAAGAATATGGATTTTATGTGTTTTTATTTCACCACACACGTACGCGCGAAATGAGCATCATATATTAAATCCAATATAGGTGGCACATTCATATGAGTCAACTGGTAAATTAGTCTCCTGATTAGTTGGGTTAAGAGTTTTGAATTAATCAATCTGATTAGATTTTATATTTCTTCCTTGTCGAGTATATGTAAAGACGTCGTTTTGATTTTGAAAAAATAGCAGTCCATCATATTTTTTTTATTAACTTTATTTTCTTAAATTATATGTTACTTAAACATAAATATTTCATTTATTTATGAATTAATATTTTTTAAAATATTTCTATTTTTAGAATTATATATGGACAGTTTTTTTTATATTTTTTTAATTAAATTATATTATTTAATCATTATTGTGTGGATACTGTGCAATCTTAGTTGCACCATTTATCTTTGAAATACTGCATTACTCGGTCGTGTCGATTTTCATTAGTAGTTTGGAAATAAATCATGCTACTAATATATTAGTTTTAATTTGGTCTTCATTTTTTAGGTTGGACCTGACAAAACAAATTCTTGAAAATTGCTTGCTCACATATGGGTTCGGTCCAAACTAGAATATATTTCCGAAGGGAGGATAACACACGTGTGTATATAAAATAATCAACATAGATGAGATTTAAAGCTAGGAAGAAAATCTGAGAAAGGAAATCTCTTTTCCTTTTTGCACCCTTTTTCTACTTTTTTTTTTCCCAATCCCTTCCTGTTATAATTTGTCAAATTAAAGCTAAAAAGAAAATCTGAGCACACATATATTCGTAAAAGTTTTAAATTTTGCTCAAGTTATATACAGTTACAAAATTTTTCAACATATTTTTTAACCTTAACTAAAATGCCTTCTTAAATATTTTCATAGAGGGTAGCATAATTAACCAAAAATTAATAAAGAGAAAAAATAGATTAAAACTAATTAAATAAGTATAAAATATTGATAAATTTAATAAAATAAATCCAAAAATACACCATTTTAATTCTAAACTAAAATTTATATTTTAACCATAAACTCTTATGTATATTTTAAAAATAAAAGAAAGATCACACGAGTCTCTTTGATCAGAAAAATTTTAACGCAGCTCTCAAAAATGTAAGGTGCTAATTAATTATGTTAATTGAACATGCAATTTTCGGATTGTCATTCATTCATAAATTCATGAAATTAATAGGGGAAATTAAAAAAATAGGTGGCTTGGTTTGACATATTATCATGCGTTTATCATCTTGGCAGGAGTAAAGGCGTCAGAAAGGGATCCAGAGAAGCAGTACAACTCTCATCTTAAGGGAAATACTGTTCCCCAAAATTGCGCTACCTGTTTTCAGTTTCTCTTCATTGCATTGCAAATTTTTTTTCGCGTACTAGGATTGGGTATGCCACATTCATGTTTAATTTATATTGATTATATACTGTAATTCTTCCAATTAACTAAAGTTTTCTCTTCTGTGTTCGTTCCTTACCCCAAAAAAAAAAAAAAAAACCAAGTTGTCTGTGTGAATATGCTTTGGCAGGGAAGACATTTGAGGAAATAATAAATGCGAGACGAAAGCATACATGGAGTATTCCGATACTGGATGAACTGATGAGAGACCCTGGGACATACATGACTAAAGGTGTACTCGAAGTAGTGAACAAAATTCTTCCACGATTACCAGTCTCCATCCACGATACCTCATCAATGAAGAAAAATATTGTACTGGTGGCAGTGGAGAATAGGCAGCCCATTTAATTATTCTCACGATCGAATTTGGATTGCAGTTTGTGAAATCGTTAGTGGCAGCCCATTTCTCATTCCCTACAAACAAAAAAGGGGAAATTCCGGGAGAAATCTTCCTTAGAGATCATCAGTATATTATTGAAAAGAGTTATAAATGGCTTAGTCGTACGTCTGAATCTTGGTCAGTGGTGGCTGCGCTGGTTGCCGGAGTTGCCTTCGCAACATCAAGCACAGTACCCGGTGGCAATGATGATGGAAGGACATCCTGGGTTTGATATTTTCACTATCAGTGCACTTATTGGGCTCTGCTTCTCCGTGATTGCACCCATCTTGTTCTTTCCATCCTCACCTCTCGAAAACAACCCTCAGATTTTATGAAAAAATTGCCAGTGATGCTTTTTCTGGCCTTAAGCTCATTTTTTTGTGTCCATAATTCTTAGACCTATATGTAGCTATGGACTCTTTCCCTTCGTCTTCCATATCTTTATTCTTTCTTGTTACTTCTTGTTTCCTAATAGGTTCAAATTAAATGAACACGTGTTCATGGATAGCATTGTCTGAATGTGCCGTGTAATTTCAAATGCTGAGTAGCGCTAATCCTAATTTTTACTTGGCCTTAGTTTACAAGGAACTATTGTTGTCAAAGTCACGAGTTGACTCTCTGAGTTTAACGTTTTTACTTTTTTAGCTAACAAAATCGTGTCACTATAAACTCAGTTAAAGATACGAATTTATTTACTGAGTTTACCGTTTTTACGTTTTAAGCTTACAAAATTGTGTCAACTTGCTCTTAAACTCATATTAAATTTTTGGATTTGATTATGTTTAGTGACTTTATATATGAGTTTTATAGAAATTTCTTTATTGAATATGATAAATTATGATCATTGATGGATATAATTTTAATTATTTAAATTTAAAATATATTTAAATGAAATTGTTCTTGTTTTTTATATATTAATTATTTGATTATACATTTTTAATACCAGTTTATTAATAAAAGTAAACTCTTACGAGTTTACGATCCGAGTTTATCTCATTCTCACAAGTTTGTTTAAATTCGTGAGTTTGACAACCTTGCAAGGAACTTATATCTTAATTATTACACATTGAAATGATCAAAAAATAAAGACTTTTAAAAACAATATTCTGTAATATCTTGACATGGTTAAGTAGAAAAAATAAAAAAGAAATCATTCTTAAATTGAAGATAACAATATCAATGCAGCAACGCCACTGCCACCACCAAATATACGACCCGTATTAGAAGTTATTTTATGAAAAGAACATAGCCACAGTGTGGGTATCACTCAGAGCATTTAAATGACTGTCGAGGATTATAAATGAGTTTGAATAGAAACACAATCACTTAAATGGAAATAATAAAAATAATAAAATTAATACACAGATTCATATATCTTCAACTTGTTTTTAATTAAGTCCTTATAATTTTTTTTTTTCTTTCTTTCTTTTTTTGGCTGAGTCCTTATAGATTTATCAATTATTAGTTTATATACTCATATATAATTTGTTAACTTATAAGAAAACATTAGTAACTAATGATGTGGCTCTCACTCAACATGTCCATGGATTAATTTTGCCACTTCCATTTCCATACTCATTCCCAATCCCATTCCCATTTACAATCTATCAAAATTTAGACATGCATACCAAATAGTCCCTAGTGTCTTGAACATGATTCTTGGAAAGCATATAAAATTATTTGCATTGTTGTCATAAAAATTTAATTAACAAAATATATTAAAATTAACGAATTTTCAGGCCATCAATTAAACTAAGTCCTAGTTTTTAAATTCCAGAATCTCGATCGAAGATCAAATATAATATTTGTGTGAAGTCAAGTGGATTTAATTTGTCTTTGTAGTCTTCGGCCAAATATGTGTGTATGAAACACATGGGTATCGGCTGCTGCTTTTTTCAGGACAAATATTCTGGTATCAACAAAATTAAAGCCCGCCAAAGTTCTCCCTCTATTTCAATTTTGTAAATTTCAAGATTTCTAATTGTGAAGGCAAGGTGGTCGAGTACTTGATAAG